AAACCCAAGACGATACCCATGAGGGAGTTAGGGTATAACTCCCCGAATCCTGTTCACCAGGTATGTTCTCAGAGGAGTAGAGACAGTCCCGCCTTCTTATCACAAGCTTGTTAATGACCAGGGAAGCCAAGTCGACCGAGGATACCAGTCTTCCCATGCGTCCAGTGTACCTGTAGACCTAAACAGAGTGCGATAGTTGTTTGCAATAGCGCAGATTATGCCAAGACCTGCACTCTTAAAATAACTGAGGTTCATCCATTAGGTGTACCTTCTCCAGGAGTACATCCAAAAGGAGTGGTATATGAGCACCAACGAAATGGGCCAATCCTGGGCTGAACCTAGGATGGTCAGTCCAAATAGTCCCTATACTGTCCCATAAAGTCTCCGGAGGTGTGTGTAAATAAGCGGGGAATCTCCCCCAGTAATACCTCTGAATATATCTTGTGTGGGATACAGAGGCCTGGATCCAGTAGATCCAATATAGGAGGTGAGAGGAATCTAAACCTGTATACCCTGCTCGATCAGGCAGCCCTCTATAATGAAATCCGAAGTACAGTCGTTAGATCTAATGGAGGGGTTCTCTCCCCTTGCCCCGTGTTCTGGAGCATCATTTCCCATGCATGCCGATGAGGTATTACACCCCTGTAGTCGAGCTGAAGCATCAGCGGCAAACTCGGTAGGTGGTAAGCACCTCCATAGTGAATGGACTGCAGGAGGGATGCCCCTCTATGTAGTCATCGTTGTCTTGTACTGGTACAGTGCCAGGATGAACAAACGGACGGTACCATAGGACGTAGCGTTTATGAGGGAGCCCCACTCTCTAATAATGTAACTGCACTCCGTGTCAGCGCCTGGCTGATAGCATGAGTGGGCCACACCCGTTAATAACCAGATTTTTGAGTCTACCTCCGTGTCCGGTTCCTTCCAGGAGAAAGATTCACACTCAAAACCTGTCCTCTGTATCCATCTCGGACTGAGGTTGAGGGAGGGCTGTGCCTTCTAATAATGGATCAGTGTCAGGTTCAACATATGAGAGTGGCTCGCTCTCTACTCGTGCAAACAATGGGAAACAGTCTTGGGTCAAGGTGATGGAGGGTGCACCCTCTGGTAATCCAGACTAGAGTCCACATAAGGCTCAGGGTGATCAACTGTGGGGTTCCCCATCCAATAATATCCACATAGGACTGAGGTCCTGGGAAGGGAGCCCCTCTGACCACGAGACCTCTCTCTGAACCACCCACCTTAAGGGTGGAATCGTCTGGTAATGATCGCCTGGTAGATGGGGTAGTATACAACCTTGGGACGTGTCCATCTTTAAACAACCGAAGGGCTGATGAGAAGAAGCAACCGCAGGAAGCAATGATGGGAGACGTTCTCCGTGATCCACGAGAGCCCGGAAGAGGTCAAGTCAGGCCTCTCGACGACCCGAGTGAAAGGAAAATAGGGAGGCACGAAAACAAATAATGTAGAAAAAGATAAATACGTACCTCGAAGTGTTGCTGCCGGGTTGGTATAACCGTGGTTGCCTGCCCGGGCATATTCATACAAGATTTTCCTTTTTTCCAGACATTATTCATGGAGATAGAGAGATATATATCTCTCTATCTCCATGAATAATGTCAGGAAAAAAAGGAAAATTTGCTTCATACTTACCGTAATTTTCTTTTTCTGATCATTATTCATGGCAGCATTATGTTCCCACCCATATAATATAAGATGTAAAGCTAGTTACTAAGACTGCCTGATGGGAAGGGGGAGGATCTTTTTATAGCAGTTTCAGAGTTCTATTTCCTGTCCTTTCTGCTGTGAGGGGAGGAGCTAACCCATGAGTAAATGCTGCCATGAATAATGATCAGAAAAAGAAAATTACGGTAAGTATGAAGCAAATTTTCCTTTATAGTGAAGCAGAAGGATAGGAACATAAGAACACTAGATGAATAGTGCAAAATAAATTACTCCCCACATTTCCTAAAGTCTATAATATATTATACTCATAACAAGCTTTAGAACCGTAGACACTTGTTCAGAGCCAAAACCAGCTGGTATAAAAGTATAAAAATGTGCTTACCCCTGATCTAAATGGCGAACTGGCTCTGCATGCTAATTGACAGCCAGAATCCCAGCGGGGGAAAAAATCTTGCGGTCCGACTACCGTGGGTGGAGGAGAGGCCGCGAGCAAGCCCTCTTCTCGGCGGTCGGGTGCACGTGGCTCTTGAAGGAGCCGGCTGCAGTGAGGCAGCCATGTGCGCGAGCGGGTCCGGCTGCTGGGTACTCGCGTCCGACCTCGAGTAACCCCGGGTGGTGACAGGCTCATACTGGAGCTCGGGGAGTCAGAGGACACAGCCAAACGGCTAGTCTCCTGACACCCCGAGTGAAAGCACCCGCTGCCAGCGAAGGGCGTTGGAAAGAGGGGGTGGAGGGGGGGGGAAGGGCGAAACAAAAAGAGGAGCGACCCTGGCAGCATCCCCAGAAACCACCACTGAAGGAAACCATCCCCAAAGTAACAGGGGACCAACTAAATATATATAATTAACTATAAAGCATATAATATAGAAAAGAAACACATATGATAACTAGATATAAGGCATATAAGACATATAATCTGATAACTACATATAATGTAAATAATATATAAAATTCTGATAACTAAATATAATGCAAATAATATATAAAAAATATATATTCTCATAACTAAATATAGTGCAAATTATATGACAACTAAATATAAAGTATATAATATATAAAATAAATATATAATATAACTAAATACAGTGAATATAAGTCATAACTAAATCCCAAAGCCGTCAACTAGAAGCAGGAGGCAGTGGTACTCTGACCTGTACTGACTGCGGAGCAGCAAAGAAAGAGGAAATGATGCATGGGGAGGGGAGTTTTATAGTACCTAACTTTTTTCTGATGGGATGTTTTTCTGTGCTGCTGTGGAGTTCTAGTAAAGAGAGACTTAAAGGACCACTATAGTGCCAGGAAAACATACTCGTTTTCCTGGCACTATAGTGCCCTGAGGGTGCCCCCACCCTCAGGGACCCCCTCCCGCCCGGCTCTGGAAAAGGGAAAAGGGGTTAAACTTACCTTTTTCCAGAGCTGGGCGGAGAGCTCTCCTCCTCCGATCCTCCTCTTCTCCTCCCCGTCGGCTGAATGCGCACGCGCGGCAAGAGCTGCGCGCGCATTCAGCCGGTCACATAGGAAAGCATTCATAATGCTTTCCTATGGACGCTTGTTTGCTCTCACTGTGAAAATCACAGTGAGAAGCACGCAAGCGCCTCTAGTGGCTGTCAATGAGACAGCCACTAGAGGAAATAGGGGAAGGCTTAACCCATTGGTAAGCATAGCAGTTTCTCTGAAACTGCTATGTTTATGAAAAAATGGGTTAACCCTAGCTGGACCTGGCACCCAGACCACTTCATTAAGCTGAAGTGGTCTGGGTGCCTAGAGTGGTCCTTTAAGCAAATACAAAGGCTCCTGTCTTGTTATAAAATTATATCACAGGCAGAGGGGAGGATTTTATGGGAATGAATGGGAGTGTTACTTTTTTGTATGTGTTTTTATTGGTTGTTTTACAAAACCCTGTGGGCGGTACTATGTGTGTAAAATGTGCATAAAAGCCGTCTCTAATTGGGGGAATCTGCTACAAGGGATTTGCTATACTAGTCATACTCTCTTGCTATATCACTACTAAGCTCTTGTAAGAGCTTGTTCCTGTCTTGCTCTGTGAAGGAGTCCACGGTTTTTATGGTGTCTGCTGGAGTGCTTGGAGTCCTCAGCGAGCACTAGGAGCATCAATTGGTGGAGGAACTCGGTCGGAGTGCCAGCAGTCCGTCACACATTTATATATTCTGTAAATCAGAACAACTAAATGAATTTATTTTTAATTACTTTCTTTAACCTACGCTAATTATGCACACATTATTGCAAAAACTATTTCTCTTTTTTGCATTTTTCTGTATTTTTTAAATAATAAATAAGTGTATATATATATATATATATATATATATATATATATATATATATATATTACATCAAATTAAAGACCTTTCTGTCCTTTAAAAAAAAGTATATAATATGTGTTTGGTGCAATAAACGAGAGAGATACAAATTGCAGTTGAATGCAAACAGCAAGAAAATGCAAAAATTGGTTGTGTCATTAAGCGTAAGGCAAGCTTCTGAAGCTGTGTCCTTAAGGGGTTAAAGGATCACTATAGCGGTAGAAATACAAATATGTATTCCTAACACTATAATGCCGTAGTCACCGTTTACATCTCCATTTAAACTCACCTTTCTTTTCCTTGCTGTGCTGGTCTCCCTGTTCAAGTACACCTCTTTGGCTGAGATCATCAGTGTTGATGATCTCAACCGATCAACCGATCCATAGGAAAGAATTGAGAGGGTAGTGCGCATGCAACACAATGCGCTGCAACAATCAGATCAATCCACACTGTGTAAATTGTTTTGTTCAAAATTACATTTTATCTGTATAAATTGTTATTAGTAAGTCACCTAAAGTTTCTCAAAACAGCCCTGCCCACATTCCCAACTTACCCCCTAAAATTAAAGCATCCCTCTTTGTATGTTTGAACTGTATGTGTGTACAAATGTCAAGTATTTGGAATGTGTAACTTTTATATCACAAAATCACAATTTATTCTTATTGCTCTCATTGCAAAGAGCTCCAGTACCACATAACTGCAAATCCAACAGAATGACCTCTGCATCAGTATGACTGATACACTAATTTGCTTTTTATTGGTAAAACATAGCTAAAGGAATCCTTGCTTGACAGAACAGTTGGTCTTAATTTAATATATCGTAAACTATGTGAAATTGATGTAGGTTTACATCTCCATACCTCTGAGCAATGGGAAGGGATGAGGCAGATCATACAAATATCATCCATTTATGTATGACACAAACTGGGTGTACCAACATGGCGACTACGCTGCTCTCAGACTCTGCTCACTTCCTCTCTATGGTAGGCGGATCTGGCATGGGCTGCTGGGAAGCAGCTGGAGGAACAGCAGTGGGATAGCTGCTACAATTCATACCAATAACCGGCATGGCGGGGATTATTAAGAAGCAAATCTTGAAACATCTGTCCAGGTAAGGATTTTTAAAAGTGCATAAATGAATTAGCGAAACAATTGTCTTTTTTTAAATAGATCTGGACGCAACAATGGAACCTTGACTGACTTGCAGCATTCTGATTCTACCCAATGCAGCGTACAAGTCAACAGGGTTCTACAGTGAAAATGCTGTGTGACTATGTATACAGTACAGCAAGTCAGAGGGCTGTCTGCTTGGACTCTATCGATGTTTCAGAGACGCTTAGAGTGAATGGAGCCGTTTTCCTGTATATATAATTGTGTAGGGAAAATTGCATTGAGTTTATATTGAGATTAGTACAGTAAACCAAAATGATGTGTCTTTTAGTACCTATTATATACAAGTTCCTACAGTGTAAATTAACAACCCTCACTTGCAACCCTGTATTCCTATTATGTAAACATGCACTCTGAGCAACTTAACCATTACAGCTCATCGTTGTGACTTTGCAGCAATTATTTTTTTTGGTGCCAGCCCTATATTTACATATTACATGTTGGGTTTTTTTGTGTTTTTTTTTTTGTGGAAAAGGTAACTCCAAGCACCAAGACCACCTGCCTCAGTGATTTGAATTAGTCATTTGTGACTGGAGACTGTATGTGCAGCATTAGTTTAACCCCTTTGCTGCCAGAGGTGTAACTCTACATCCAGCAAGCATCATTGGCAGTGGGATGTAGTTGTCATGGTGCTTGGAGTAACCCTTTAAGAGCACATATCCTTATGAATTCTGCCTTTCTTGCCATCATAGGAGGTGGGGAACTGCACTTTTTTTCTGTCTCCTCCACTTCTTTCATGCAGTAACATTATCTGAACAAAGATTGAATGACAACAGCTGATGAATTAGAATTTAAAGTGCACACAAGAGGCTTTGTACACACAAGTTAGGTTTAAATTAAAGGGATACTGTAGCTTTGTATTCTTGGCACTATAGTATCCATTTAAAGAGCAAACTATGTTATCTTTATATTGTGTTAGCTAAGGTATAGACTTTATGCTGAAAGAGTACAGTCACTTCCCTGGAGTTTACACAATTGAATAAAACATTGAAAATCACATGTATCTTGTAGTAATCTTATTTTTATGAGATGCTGCATTTTCTTTAAAAAAATTTGTTCCCTGTTACAAAAATGGCTTGAGAAAAATATGTAAAAAATGTCAAGCTTTTTTGTGAATAAACGGTTGAACCCCAAAGTCTCCCCTCCAGATTGCTCTACCCCCTGTAACATCCGCTTAGTGAAAAGCTTGAAAACAGAAGCCTAGAACTGCCGTGGCAGGGGCACTACTGTTTGGTTTAGAGTGGTCAGCTGACTGGAAGAAAAGAGATTTAGTCTAAGACAAAGGAAAGGATTCTTTACAGGAAGAACAATGAAGGTGTGGAATTTTCTACCCGAATATGTGGTTTTATCAGCGTCTGTACATATTTTTAAACAGCGACTAGATCCAGTCTTGGAAAAACATGATATTCAAAGATCAAGTATTTTAATATGTGAGATAACAGCTTATTGATCCAAGGACAGATCTGAATGCCACTCTGGGGTCAAGAAATGTAACACTATGTAAGTACTTTTGCCCATGCTCCTAGGTTCAAGACAGATTTGTAATACCCTGTACTACTACTAATACACATACAATTTTGCTCATTCCCAAGTTCCTATACACTTATTCCAAGTGCATAGAAATAGCAGCATAATTCACGTTTAAAACTCAAGTTTCTTTTTTTCGTCTTAAAGTGTTTATATATTTTAATAGCAGCAGCATATCTAACAGAAAGCAAAAGTATCTTTAAGAGAAATAAACATTTTCCATATACATTGGTTGTTGTTTTCACTCTGACACCTTTGTTTGAACAATTATATGTCCAAACACACACCTTGGCAAATAGTTGTCACTGGTCCGTAAAGAGATCTGTAGCGTTTAGTAAAGAAAATAACAAGACACATTGGTAATACCTCTAAAACATAATTTCTCTATGAAATTAGATCAGTGTTCAAACGAGCCACAATTAAAGGAACTCTCTAAGTATGATAACCAGTAAAGCTTGAAGAAAGAATAAGAATGCATAGGTATTATATCAGTGATTCTGCCACATTAAAGGGACACTATACTCATCAGAACAACTACAGCTTAATGTAGTTGTTCTAGTGTCTACAGCCTGTCCCTACAGGTTTTTTAATGTAAACACTGCCTTTTCAAGGAAAAGGCAATGTTTACATTGCTGCCTATGGACTGCTCTATTGGCAGCCACTCAGACGGCCACTAGATGTGCTTCCTGGGTCGGTGTAGCACCTATGTTCAGTTTCTCCATGCTTTGCATTGAGACGCTGAACGTTCCTCATATAGGTGCATTGATTCAGTGCTTCTCTATGAGGAGATTCTGATTGGCGAAGCACAGCAACATGCCGCATGTGTGTATTAGCCTATGTGTGTCTATTTCCTATGGGAAAGCATTGGATTTGCTAAAATTATAAATATTGATGATCTCAGCACAGGATACAGAGTGTGGGCGGGGCCAGCCTCGAGAAGACCCACACAGTGCTGGAAAAGGGTAAGTTAAATACCCTTTTCACTGGGTTACAAGCGGGGGCCAACCACCTCAATGGTGTTTGACATCTATAATGTCAGGAATACATGTTTGTATTCCTGGCACTATAGCGATTCTTTTAATATAATATTACATACAACCACATTTTCACGAGTGCCACAAAATGTTTACCCGGTTATATGATTATAGCACAGGAAACATTTCTGCTGAACAAGGCCGCGGCACCCAACTGGGCCCCTGTAGTGTCGGCAGGCTGGAAAGGAAGTGACAACCTATCACTTCCTCCCAGCTTTGTGCAATGAGACAGCATGGGAGGGAGAGTAGGCAGTTACAGAGGCAGATTGAAGGCAGAGGAGATAGAGCACGAAGATCTGCTCCAGACCCCTCTACCCCACCAGCATCAGGACCAGGACTCCAATCAAGCCACCCTCCTGAACACACATGGTAACGGAGGGTGGCTGCAGATATATGTATGTGTGTGTATATATATATATATATATATATATATCACTTATATGTGTTAATGTCAGACTGTGTGTGTGTATACATGTCAGTGTGCTTCTTTGTGTATCTCTGTGTGCGCACTAATCTGTGTCAGGATGTGCAACTGTGTATGTGCATCAGTGTGTGTATCTGTGTCATGGTGTGTGCATATGTCAGTGTTTGCGTGTATCTGTGTCAGAGTGTCCGTTTGTGTGTATATATGTCGGTATATGTGTGTATTGAGGTATGTGTGTGCGCATGTGTATGTATGTGTGTTTGTGCATACATCTAAGCAAACACCAGTACAACAAATACACCCCTGCATTCAAACTCCAAAATGATATACAAACACACCCCTTCACACAAATGACATCCACATTTAAAAATAAACATTGCAATCAAACACAAACATTATATACAAATACTAAAATTATATACAAACACCTCTTCTAACACTAACACTATACATTACATTATAGCGCCAGAATATGCCGCAGCGCTGTACAGATATATAACCTAGAAATTTGTTTTGACTTGGGGCGCCTTGGAATTCTTTTTAATGTTAAAGGCATCTTGAACCTAAAAAGTTTGGGTAACACTGCTCTAGAGTTATAATAAATAAATGAGCTTTATTTATAATGCTCAAGTGTTGTATGGGCTATTTGGTTTTCTGGTCCCTTTCCTTCCCTTTAAATTAAAGTGGTCACTTTAATTTAAGGGATACTATAGTCACGCAGACCACTATATCTCAATAAAGTGCTCTGGGTGCAGTGCGTCTGCCCTCTTAACCCTGCAATGTAAAATATTGCAGTTTTTTAGAAACTTTGCAGAATTTACTGGTGAATGTCAATATGACCGCCACTAATAGGCAGTCATATTGACATTCACTAAAGGCGTTTCCACTGCACTGATTGATATGAAAGCATTGGTTCTCTATGAGGAACATTGGATTGGTTATTGGTGGAGGAAACCATGCCTCCCATGTGGTGTTGTGGTAGTATGAATGGTATGCAGCACCGAGTTACTCTGCCCCGGGCAGCTGCCTTATTTGTCCCGCGTTAAAGACGGCCCTGGGGTACAGGGAAGGGCATAGCTCCTGAAAAACACAGGAATATCCTTGGAAATGTTCACAAGTAATGAAAGTGACAGGATTGGCAAAGTTGTCAAGGAAAAGTTAATGATATTTACAAATGAATTAGGCTTAGGAAGAACAAATCCCTTTAAACATAGAATATACTTATACACATTAGACTAGGTTTGTAAGTCTCACACCCACAATACGGCAGATATTAAACAGTTGGAATGTTTGAGTATGATAAATGTGTTGTAAATTTGTAACACTATACCTCTTTTACTTAGAATCTGCCCAACTGAAAATTACAGATGTACAAAGTAAAGTTTGATGTACCATACCATTGCAGGGTAACAAAACACGAATTACAAAAAAAGAAACTGAAAAATATGCGTTCCTGAAATATTCTTAATACTGCACATTCCCAGTAAAAAAAAATATATCTTTATTGAAAATCTGCTTAAATTGGTGTAAGTAGATATACAGGGTGAAAAAAGCTCCTAAATTTTCAGAGCCACGGCATACAGTCTACGTGTTTCACTTTAACTTTTTTAGTGCATCTCATCAATTTTAAAGGAAAACTATAGTCACCTAAATTACTTTAGCTAAATAAAGCAGTTTTAGTGTATAGATCATTCCCCTGCAATCTCACTGCTCAATTCACTGCCATTTAGGAGTTAAATCACTTTGTTTCTGTTTATGCAGCACTAGCCACACCTCCACTGGCTATGATTGACAGAGCCTGCATAAAAAAAAAAAACTGGTTTCACTTTCAAACAGATGTAATTTACCTTAAATAATTGTATCTCAGTCTCTAAATTGAACTTTAATCAAATACAGGAGGCTCTTGCAGGGTCTAGCAAGCTATTAACATAGCAGGGGATAAGAAAATCTTAATTAAACAGAACTTGCAATAAAAAAAGCCTAAATAGGGCTCTCTTTACAGGAAGTGTTTATGGAAGGCTGTGCAAGTCACATGCAGGGAGGTGTGACTAGGGTTCATAAACAAAGGGATTTAACTCCTAAATGGCAGAGGATGGAGCAGTGAGGCTGCAGGGGCATGTTCTATACACCAAAACTGCGTCATTAAAGGACCACTCTAGGTACCCAGACCACTTCAGCTTAATGAAGTGGTCTGGGTGCCTGGTCCAGCTAGAGTTAACCCATTTTTTTAATGAACATAGCAGTTTCAGAGAAACTGCTATGTTTATAAATAGGTTAATCCAGCCTCTAAAGCCTCTAGTGGCTGTCTCATTGACAGCCGCTAGAAGCGTTTGCGTGCTTCTCACTGTGAAAATCACAGTGAGAAGACGCCAGCGTCCATAGGAAAGCATTATGAATGCTTTCCTATGAGAGGCTGAATGCTCGCGCAGCTCCTGCCACGCATGCGCATTCAGCCAAAGAGGAGGAGGAGAGCTCCCCGCCCAGCGCTGGAGAAAGGTAAGATTTTATCCCCTTCCTCTCCACAGAGCCCGGCGAGAGCGGGTCCCTGAGGGTGGTGGCACCCTCAGGGTACTATAGTGCCAGGAAAACGAGTATGTTTTCCTGGCACTATAGTGGTCCTTTAAGCTAAAGTTGTTCAGGTGATTATAGTGTCCCTTTAATAATTTCCCTACAACCTGCTTTTTGAACATGCTTTAAAGGAAGCTCACCATTTATGTTTATCAAAGAATCTGTAGAAAGAGCAATACAGAAACAGATTCAGCTACATTTTTTGCGTAAATTAGAATAGATTAATTGGGACCTTCCTTACTAGGTTTTTTTTTGTTTTTTTTATCGTGTTACTTAAGTCAAAATGGACCAAGGGTACAAAGTTAAAACCCCTTATTAATAGGGCCTGGGTAGATTGGGATGAAGATAAGACTGAAAATGTTCATGTCGTTATGGATCTCTACTTGGATTTGTTTCTTTTTTTTAAAATTTGATCCTTGAATGTATTTCCAGTTCTTCTGGTTGTTCTTCTTCGTCTGCATAATCCAGACCTTTTCTCCTTTGCTTTATTCATCTCAAGTTTTTTGAGGTAGACTGAGAACCATGAGAATCCATATTCTTTAGACTCCTCCCAGTCCTTGTATATTATTATTATTATTTATTGGTATTTATATAGCGCCAACAGATTCCATAGCACTTTACAATATTATTAAGGGGACTTTAACAACGAATTAGACAAACTATTACAAATTTGACTGGGACAATAGGTTGATGACAATCCAAATCAAACAAGCTTACAATTTTTTCAATTTGACAATTTTTATTGTTTTCCGGGGTACGAAAGGGAGTGTTAGGGGGTAGTAGATCATACGATAACAACCGTGGTAACAATAACAATATCAGTGATATCTAGTAATGTCTAGGTGGCAACAGTGATATTGTGTTGTTTGGTGTGTCAGTTGCTTGTGCAAGCTTACAATTTGAAGGAGGTGGGGTATAAAACCACAAATAAATGTCTATTAATATGCTGGTCTTCATGATTGAACATCTTAGGCACAATTAGCCACCTTAACATCTCACTTGTCATGCTTGTTGACTTTCCTTTGCACCTTGATAACCCCTTTGGGGCATCTGCTTTCCTCCCACTCATCTCCTTTAGCCTACATTCAGCTTTCACAAATTACCCAAATAACTTGCATATCGTAGATTGCATTCACAGGCTACAACACACAGTACCCACAGCATTCATTAATTACTGTTGAATTTACACTCCGTTTACTGCATATACTACAAACTCATAAAACACACATTCATTCACACATGACTCATTGTTTCTAGGTTTCTTCAGATTCTGGTGTGCTAAAATGCAACATTATAGCTGTCCAGGAATCTAAAACTGTCACATAAAATGTCATGTTTCAAAAGCAGTGACCTCTGAATATTTATTTGTATTGTATTGTTAAAAAGGCTCTGATCTCAAGCTTGCCTTTCTCCTACTTTTCCCTCTTTCAGAATCTGTTCTTTATTTCTAATCTTTTTATTTTTAACCCCTTAAAGGGACACTGTAGGCACCCAGACCACTGCAGCTAATTGAAGTAGTCTGGGTGCTGTGTCCCTTTTGCACTTAGTGCTGCAATGTAAAACATTGCAGTTCTAGAGAACTGCAATGTTTACATTACAGCTCTAAGTCTGCCCTCTGTGACTGTCTAACAGACAGCCACTGGAGGCGCTTCCAGATTCGTAACTGACTTATTATTGAATAATGCTTTCCTATAGGGGGGTCTAATGTGCGCATGTGCGCATCAGGTCTCCCCTGATGGTGGGGTAGGAGCGTGGGCGGAGCCTAACCCAGCGCTGAGGGACATCGGCGCTGGATTCAGGTAAGTTTTAACCCCTTCAGCGACATGGGATGGGGGGTGGAAAGGAGGGGGCACTCCAGGATTCTCTAGGGCCAGGAAATCTTTTTTTTTTTTTTTCTGGCACTGGAAAATCCCTTTAACCCTTTAAGGACCAAACTTCTGGAATAAAAGGGAATCATGACATGTCACACATGTCATGTGTCCTTAAGGGTTAAGGACTATGGCATCCTGCAAAATGTGGGCTTTAATGCTGCAGTAAGAAATTAAAACCCTGATCTGCATTATAGTATGAAACCTCATTCTATTAAAACACCTAAACTATCATGTTGCTGTGGGTCTTTGGTTTTAATTATTCTACCCTATGATTTTCAATATAATAATGTATATTATGGGCAATGAAGTCCACATATTATGTTTTTCTTATATTTCTTTTCTCTATTACTTTAAGGTTCACCAAAAACCTGTCCCCAGAACAAATTAATTTAAGCACACTGCGTGGTGAAGGACAGTTAACAGAGTTTGAACTTGATGAAGAGGCTATTCAGAACATGCTGGATTTACCCACATGGCTTGCCATTACACGAGTATACTGTAACCGAGCTGCCATCCGGGTGAGGGCAAATATTCATTGTGGATTGGATGTAATATAGATGATTCAAGAACAGAGTTAAATGAAACAAAATATAAACCTATGGTGTACGTAATAGCATAAAGACATAATACTGTTTTTGTATGGCTTTGTGAGAATTGCTTTTGTCAATTTATTAACCCCCCTTCCTATTCCTAACAGATACAATGGACCAAGCTGAAAACCCACCCTATCTGTCTGGTAAGCTGTGCTGTGCTGTCTGTCTTCTGCACATTGTTTATCCATTTTCTCTCTATATTCTATGTTAAATCAAAGTTTGCCTGTTGTATTCACTAACAGGATTATTCAGTAAACACTGGATTTTGATTGGATAAACAAAATCCTGTGAAAATTGCTGAATTTAGATCGGAATGACAGTTCTCATATTTACTAATGCCAAATTTCGAAGTCCGTATTAAAAATCAGTGGTTTCATGGGACGACTTTATGTCCTCCCTGGGCTGGAGGAAACACTTCCACCCTGAAGCTCCCCTTACTGCACTACATGCAGTGAATCCTACGATCCCACTAAACAGATGGTCACGCTTAGGTATATCCCAAATCCAACAACTGTGTACAGACCAGACGATCATGAGTTTCCCAGCCATCAGAGACAGATGGAAGGTCCCGGAGAGGGATATCTTTCCCTACTTACAACTGAAAAACACAATAAACACACACGTCAAGGGCACACCTCACACTGGGCCTACTCCTGCGGTAGCAGCGAGACTGATACCCCACAGATGCTGGACAGCCCCGATGAAACCCAAAGCCTTATCACTTTGCTACAAAGCATGGCTTGACCTAGCACCACAAAAACCGATGACATGCAAACAGCACTGGGAGACTGAGAGGGGGACAGTCATGACAGAGGAAAGGTGGATGCTGGCCCTAAATGGGATCAAAAAGTGGACCAAGTGCTACTCACATATTGAAGCGCATCGCAAACTACTATATAGGTGGTACATGACACCCACCAGACTACACAGAATGTACCCAGACGTTTCCACCAAATGTTGGAGATGCGGTGTGGAAGAGGGAACCCTGCCACACATATGGTGGCATTGTGGAGGGATACAACCTATCTGGGGAGATGTTCAGACCCTATTAAAAGATCTCGGCATTAGAGACTTCCCCATGGACATAACGACCTGCCTACTCTTGTTGTTCCCCGAAACAACACAAAAAAACCACACACAATTGATAGGGATAGTTTTAATGGCCGCTAGAAACCTGATAGCTCTAAACTGGAAAACACCTCGCTGCCCAGCCATCCACCAATTGGCAGACAAAATACAACAATTCTATATATACGAGAAAATGTCCACTGACAACGCCAGGGCCACGGAAAGGTTCCAAAACACTTGGAATATCTGGGAGACATGGTATGAGAGACAGAAACACCAGGGAGGGTGAGAGGGGAGGAGGGGACCCAGAAGAGTCAGAGCGGCCCAGGGAAACATGGACGGTGACTTATGTGAGCTGACATGGCCTAAGGACGCAGGAAATGCTGGATACAAACTATTATGATTTGCCTGTATATTTGTTTGTGTATATACCTTTGTTACGTTTATTTGAATTGTAATACCAACCCAATTGAAGAGTAATTGCAAACCAGCTTCGATAAAATGTTACATAGTACACGGAGGCAGATGATGTTACTGTATAACTTTAAAGTACAAATATATTATCCTGTAACCCGCTGAATACTCGTTGTATACACTATGAAACAACTGTGTACTGGATCTTTACCTTTGAAAAACCTTCAATAAAAAATAAATATTAAAAAAAAAAAAATCAGTGGTTTCTCATCCAAACTCTAAACAAAATCTAGGACTTAGAATATCAACAAAACACCACTTTTAACAAAATTCGGAACTAAAGGCATCCACTGGCATGTCGTAAGAAATTATGACCTCTTACAAATAAAATATGCAAACATATATGTAAAGATTTTATATATATATATATCTATATATCTATATATTGGTATTAATGGTTGCATTAGGTTACTGTTACAGTTTTGTCATAAATATATACATAAAAACCATGTATTAAAGGGACACTATGGTCATCAGAACAACTACAGCTTAATGCTCTGCGTGGAGACACTGAACTTTTCTCATAGCGATGCATTGATTCAATGCAGCTCTATGAAGAGATGCTGATTGGCCAGGGCTGTGTTTGGCTTGTGCTGGCTCTGCCCCCGATCTGCCTCCTTGACAAGTTCAGCCAATCCAATGCTTTCCTATGTGAAAGCATTGTGATTGGCTAAAATAATCACTTCTGAAGAGATCAGTCAAGCAGGCAGATCTGAGGCAGAGCCAGCAGCAACAGACTGGATTAAAGGTAAGATTTTACTACATTAGTGTACCTTTAATATACAGGCCTTTTTAATATACAGGCCTTGAATGCAATATTTTTCAATACGTTAGGATTTCCATTAGTTAGATGTCTGTATTGCTTGTTTCTTTCCCTCCTCCGTTCTTGTTACATAAGCTGCCTCCATTCACGGGGTCAGATGAAAAGGAAAAAGTATTGTTGGGTTTGTTAGCACGAGGTTCCTCCCCAGGGCTTAGCTCCATGGAACTCCTCTCTGTGGACAGCGTACTCTGGTATTAGCAAAATCGTTAACTGATTTATTTAACCAATTATTGTTAACGGGATTATTCCCAGAAGATTGGAAATTAGTGAATGTTGTGCCAGTTTACAAGAAAGGTAGTAGGGATGTGTCAGGCAACTATAGGCCATTAAGCCTTACTGCAGTAGTGTTGAAGCTCTAAAATCTCATGCCAAACTAATCTTATTGCATTTTTTTAAATGTATAACTAAAATAATAGATCAAGGTGGTGCTGTAGGCATTGCTTACCTAGATTTCAGTAAGGCTTTTGGCACGGTCGCACAAAGAAAGCTTATCCATCAACTTCCATTTCAATAATGTTGAATGGGTTAGACAGTGCCTGAGTGACAGGCAAAAGAGGGTTGTAGTCAATGGAGTAGCAGTACTTGGAATACTTGTTACCAGTGGGGTACCTCAGGGATCTCATTTGCTTCAATATTTTTATTAGTCATATTGCAGAAGGTCTTGATGGTAGGGTATATCTTTTTGCTGATTATACTAAGATTTGCAACAGGGTTGATGTTCCAGGAGGGATAAGCCAAATGACAAATAATATGGGTAAGTTTGAAAAATGGTCAGAGCTGTGGAAACTGATATTTAATGTTGATAAGTGTAAGATCTTGGGCATAAAAACCCAAGGGCAGGTTATAAAATATTTGATAAAGTGCTAACATCAACATCTGACGAAAGGGATTTAGAGATAATTATTTTGTGATTTAAAGGTAGTCAGACAGTGTATTAAAGCATCAGAGAATGTTTGGTTGTATAGCGAGAGGTATTAGCAGTAGAAAGAGGGAAATGCTCATGCCATTGTACAGAGCACTGGTGAGACCCGACTTGGAGTATTGTACGCAGTACTGGAGACCGTATCTCCAGAAAGATATTAATACTTTGGAGAGAGTTCAGAGAAGAGCTACAAAACTGGTTCATGGATTGCAGGGTAAAACTTACCATGAAACGTTAAAGAATCTTAACATGTATAGCTTGGAGGAAAGACGAGACGGGGGGGATATGATAGAAACATTGAAACATATAAAGGGAATCAACACCATAAAGGAGGAGACTATATTTAAAAGAAGGAAAACTTTCATAATAAGAGGACATAGTCTTAAAATATTTGAAAATAATATCAGGAAGTATTACTTTATTGAGAGGGCAGTGGATGCATGGAATAGCCTTCCAGCTGAAGTAGAGGTTAACACAATAATGATAGACATAAATCTATCCTCGATATAAGAGATAGGGATCGACCTATTATCGGTTTTACCGATATAATCGGCCGATATTCAATATATTTGGCGGTATCGGCCAATTCAGATACCGATATTGCCGATAATACTTCCTAGGACCGCCGGGCTCATTACAAGCCCGGCGGTCCTGGGGGGAGCGGGCAGCAAGCGCTTACTCACCTCCCAGCAGCTCTTCCAGCTCCCCAGTGTAACTCTCGCGAGACCCGCGGCCGACACGCTGGCCGCGAGAGTTACACTGGGGAGCTGGAGGAGCTGCTGGGAGGTGAGTAAGCGCTTGCTGCCCGCTCCCCCCCACAGCTCGGCCAATGCCACTAGACCACCAGGGACTGCTATATCCCCCCTCCCTGGCCAGGCAACAAGCAGGGAGGGGGGACAACAAAAATAAATAATTAAATAGGAAAAATAAATAATAATTTAATAAAAGAAAATGCCCACTCACACACACATTCCTTTATATACACATACACTACACAAACACACTGTGTATATAATGCAGAGTGTGTGTGTTTGTATAGTGTGTGAATATAATGCAGTGTGTTTGTGTAGTGTGTTTATATAATGCACACTACACAAACACACTGCATTATATACACACACACAGTGTGTTTATGTAGTGTGTATATAATGCAGTGTGTTTATATAATGCAGTGTGTGTGTGTGTGTATATAATGCTGTGTGTGTAGTGTGTGTATATAATGCAGTCTATTTGTGCAGTGTGTGTGTATATAATGCAGTGTGTATTTGCATAGTGTGTTTATATAATGCACACTATACAAACACACTGCATTATATACACACCATACAAACACACTCTATTATACAAACACACTACATTCATTATATACACACTACACAAACACGCACACACTTAGAAAACACGCATTTAGTATATACTGCATTCACTTTACGCACACTACCCACACACTAAACAAACGCTCTGCTTTCAATATATACACACTACACAAACACTCTGCTTTCATTATATACACACTACACAAACACTCAGCTTTCATTATATACACACTGCACTAATACACACTGCATCCACTACACACTAGACAAATACACACTGCATCCACTAGACAAATACACACTGCACACACTACACAAACACACACTATATCCACACACACTACACAAACACACACTGCATCCACTACACACACTACACAAACACATACAGCTCCCCTGTCTAAACGCCCTGCATCCACTTCACGTGGCATGTATATTTTGTGCATTTACCTTTAGAAATAGTTTTTATTTTCCAAAATGGTAAATGTACAGAATATCGGCAAATTATATCGGATATCGGCCTGAAAGTTCACAGAATATCGGTATCGGCTCTAAAAAATCAATATCGGTCGATCCCTAATAAGAGACTGATGCAAGTAGCAAAAAAATTGGGCAGACTGTAATGGCTTTTATCTGCCGTCACATTCTATGTTTCTTGGTATTTTTTACCAGGTAAATTATAACATTTAGTGTCTTCCCCCAAGCTATAGTAGAGCATTCTGGAAGAAGTGATCAGTTGGGGTGGATTCTCAGGTTTTCTGATAATTACTCCGCTTTTGAGACAGGTTGGCTTGGAAAAACAATTACTTGCCTAAATGTTAGTTACTCTGGACAAAAAATTTGAGTACACCATTTTTAAACATTGACACTTTGCTGAATACTATAGCTCAAAGCTATATGATGGATGGAAAACTGGTTGGAGGGATGTAATCTACAGGTGCAGGTGCTGTAAAATGCAATTGGATCTCCCTGCATCTCTAATTACTTAATGCTTGGACCCCATAGCCACTCCCGGGGAAGGGCAGAGGTTGACATGCCTCTAATTGTGGGGTGGACTCCCCCTTGTAGAACTATTTAGAGCCTCCACCCGCTGCCCATTGCTGGGGCTGGAGTGGTGACACAAGTTCCCTGCCCCTTATTCTTATGAGCGCCCCCACGTGCTGCCAGTGCATTGAGGGTGGGGTGGGGATATTAGGTGTCCCCTATATATTTTTATTAGAGCCCCTTTGCCACCAATAGCTGGGAGTGTGGACATCAGGTCCCTCACGTGCCACCAATGGGTATACATTTAGTAGCACCACTTGATGACCGTGGGTAGGGGGGACATTAGGACAGTTTCCCCTCTTTTATTTTACAGGCCCCATCTCCATGGAAGGGTGCTTTTCTAGCGGCTCAGTAGAAGTAGGTGTCATAAGGAGGTGGAGGCATAGAGAAGTTTACAAGTTCACACCAGACACCTAATGCACTTCAGCTTAAATGTTGTTGGCATGAAGCGGTTCAGTTACAGGCATGTGGTTTGTCTTTCTCCTTTCCTTTTTCTTTATGCAGTTTGCTGATTTTCACTATTTATTTGTCGATTTTGTTATCTGCTTTTTTACTGATATAACATTTAACAAAGAGAAGATTGCTTTGGTGTTACTGTTTTTCAATTTTTTTATTCTCATGCTGGAGTGCAGCATAATGGTTATATTATTATAATTTCCCATAGCACTTGTCTAGTAAAGACTTCTCTTTGAGCTGTGATTAAACACAAAGTCCAAGCTGGGTTAGAAGGGGAGGGCTTGCTGAGGCTTCAGGCAAGAGATCTTTTGAAAGCTGTTTTTAGATATTCCCAATAAAAAATAATTTCATTCACGTTTTGAATTTTTTTGGCAGTGGAGTTTTCTTTAAAACATCCCTAATACTAATATGGGAGTCTTTTTTGACCCCATAAGATTTTTAAATTATTATTTTCTTTTTTTAAAACTTTTTTAAAGAAACACTATAGTGTTAGAAATACAAACCTGTATTCCTAACGCTATAGTGTCCCTCTGCCTATAACTAAAGGTCCGTCCCCTCCCCCCAGTGTATAATGAGTTAAAAAACTTTTTTTCCCCTTCACATTAGAGGCAGTGCATGACAACAGGGATTTCCTCTACTCTGGAGCGAAAAAGGCAGGCAGACCCTAAAATTTTAATCTGTTAGAACCTCCCCCAAACTCATTTGCACTATAAAAGGCAGCAAACACCACACCTCCCCTTCTCTGCTTGCCTTTGGCAAGAATGGATAGTTTTTAGGGACATGGTGAGGGAGCTGCAGCTCAGGAGGCTTTGTCCCTTCCCCTAGAAGTTGAGCATGTCCTGCGTTCCACTTTAACACTTCCGACTATGCTGCCCCAGTTGCTGGAAATGGTGAATGAGCACAAGTGTGCATGAGTTCTGGTGGTGGAATTATTTCAGTCGCCAGAATTACAATTCAAACAGAAATTTTGGATTTTCAGGACCAGGGAAGCCTTAATTACCCAGCAGCAACTACCTGTTTGCCAGACGCATCGTTTTCACCATTTTCTTTAGAGAGACCTATCAACACATTTTTATGGTACAGAATCTCCATTGTTGTTATGTGTGGTGCTCATATATTTGATTTTATGTCCTCTCAGACACTTGACAAGGTGGAGGTTGAAATGAAGACTTGTGAGGAGCCTCGGCCGCCCAATGGCCCTTCACCTATAGCGTTAGCTGCGGGTCAAAGGTGAGAACATTTTTTGTCGCTGCTTGTTAATCTTCTGTCAAGCTTATAGGTTAAATATGCCCCATATGTAGACTGAATAGTGTGATCTTAGGTGCTTAATGCTGTGTGTATATATTTGAAATATATTCACTGCCTTCATGGCAGTGATGGGTAACCTACAATTGCAATCAGTGACCTTTTGTTGTGAAACACAGTGAATGTTTAGGTTGCCGAGGACAATCATGGGAGACACTGAGATGACACAGGGAGATCATGCAGGTAACAATGGGGAGATGCAAGGAGATCCCAGTAAGGGGTATTGTGGGTGTTAATTGATGAATACCCAGCAAGGGGCAATGAAGGGAAAACTAAAGTGTAGCAGTGAGTATAAAACCCAGCGATACAGTCTGGCAATGAAAGATTGAAAATCTAGCAGGGAACAGTGCATCCTTTAAGACAAACCCACACTAGTGACAGTGTGGTAGTGAAGGGGAATAAAAAGTCAAGGACCAACACAACATAGAATGGTGAAAGTCACCAAGCGACAGTATGGCCATAAAGAGAAAAGACAGCAGGAGATACTGTGGCAAGAAAGAGATTAAATAAAAACAAAAAAAAACAGCATGCTCTGCCTGTGCGGAGTGCCTCGTGGGGTCAAGGCACTCAGTGAAGAATTAAAAAAAAAATAATAATTAAAAATGAATATGAAATATATATATTAACCCCCCCATTAATGTGGCTCCCAAGATGGTGCTGCCTTTCTAAAGGCAGTGCATCATGGGGCTTCTGGGGGTGTCTCTAGCCTGCCTCATCTGTTTGTGCATTTTTGGGGGGGTTAATTTTTAGTGGGTTTTTTTTTGTGACAGATCTCAAAGTAAAGTGATTGTGATCATGTCACAGAGGTCGTAAAAGCTGAGGAGGCATATGCCATCCTTGCGTTGGAGTCTGACGCGTCTATGTCTGACTCCGACCCTGATTTTGACCCTGCCAGATGCTCAGATACATCACTAGATACATCACTAGCAGCAGACACTGTATCTAGTTATGATGTATCTGTGGCTGCTAGTCCCGATGCCAGAAGGAGACGTGCTGCTCCAGCTGGCAGTACTGCTGAGTAGTGGGTAGTGCCTCATCGCCAGAGGCCACACTTCACTGCAAATCCTGGCATCAATGTGGATGTAGCAGGATTTAGCCCTCAGCAGTTTATGGAGGTGTTTCTGGGCGATGATGTATTGGGTAGTGATGTCACGAACTGTCCGCGAACTTGCCGCGAACGTTTCACCGCAGTTCGCCACGAACCGTTTGCGGCGAACTCCGGTCAGCTGACACATCCCTGCCAATCTCCGGCAGACCCTCCCTCCCAGACCCTCCTACTTCCTGGACAGCATCCATGTTGAAGGCCGCTTCAACATGGATGCTGTCCAGGAGGTGGGGGGGTCTGTGAGGGAGGGTCTGCCGGAGATTGGCAGGGATGGGTCAGCTGCCCGGAGTTCGCGGCAAGTTCGCGACATCACTAGCATTGGGGAACATTGTCGCCCAAACTAATTTATAAGCAGTTTCATGCTGCAAAGCCTGACCTTTTTTTGGCAAAGCAGCAATGGGCCCCCATCGATGTGCCATAATTACAAAAATTCTGGGCATTGACTATGCTGATGGGCATCATAAAGAATCCCTCCATCCACTCCTGCTGGAGCAGTAGCCCCATCTGCTCTACTCCCATTTACTCCCAGTGTATGTCGAGGAAGAGGTATGAAATGATTCTACATTTCATGCACTTCAACGACAACAGCCTGTGCCCCCCTAGGGAGCATCCCCAGTTTGACAGGCTGTATAAAATCCGCCCCCTGATTACCCACTTCGCTGCCAGGTTTGCAGAGGATTATACACCTGGAAGGAATATATGTGTGTATGAATCCCATGTAAAGTATAAGGGAAGGCTGGGATTCAAGCAGTATATTTCTTCCAAGCACTCCATCTGTCTGGATTACAAATGCTTTGTTCGCCTGTTCTGCCGGTTACTGGAATTTCCCTATTCGTATGCTTTATTCAAGGGAATGTCGGTTTTTGTCGAACGGAACTACCGAACGGACGGCCACCCAGAAGAGAAGTGTGCTGCTGGTTAACCTATTGATCCCAATTAGAACGTTGCGGTTAACCACAGACACTTCTCAATTAAAACCGAATGCCGGGTGGTCGCCGTTCGTATGTCGACCACGAGGCGGCGGCCATTTTGTCCATGCGAAAGACCAGCGGTGTTCGATTATTTCATGGATCTGAAAACGGACACTTTTTCAGCCGAACACCGCTGAAGCCGTCGTCCTCCCCTTCTCAATCGACAAAAGTATACGAATGCCAGCCGTTCGGGAGATTCAACCACACGAATGGACTTAACCCAGATAGCCGTCCCATGGAGTCAATCGCATACCGAAGAACTAAAAGAGACTTTGACTCCATGGCGATTGAACTGTGCGAATGGGATCTGAGCGCTATTCTCCAATAATGTGCACTCAGATCCAGGCTATCTGGGGATATGTAATACGAATGTAATATGTTCGGCAGTTATGAAGTTATAGATTTTCATGTGTTTTTGTGACTTGTATTTAAAATGGCGATTGCCTCTGCTCGGGGAGATAATTGAGTTACTTCCCAATTATCCCACGAGCAGAGGGGAGGGAACTGTACTGCATGCTGGGAATATTGTGGGGATGTATGTCCAAAATGTCCCCATGTCCTTCTGTAATTTCAGTCTCACATTTGGTCCCCTAGGGGAGTGTCCACCAGGTGGGAGACCTGCATAAATACCGGGCAGGTAGCCCACAGTAAATCAGTTCGTGTTTTACCCTCAAAGCTGAGCTTGGTCTCGTTATTGGGGGGATTTGGTTACCAGCGACTAGAGACTACTTATTTGGATTATTTGCCGCTTGGGAGATATTGACGTTCGGTTACTATTTGCCGTTCGTGGATTTGCAGCTCGTAAAGGGAATTAGCCGTACAGGTACCGTTCGGGAGTTTGGAGTGTTCCCTGACTGGCGGTTCGCATGGTTTTATTATACCCGCTACCCGACCACATTATTGCGAACAGGGAATACTCGCTAAACGGCGGTTTGTGCATTTTATTACTGGAGGTACCGTAACAGGTGTAAAGGCGTATAAGATCTGTGATAGCGAGACTGGATATTCTCAAGCTTTCCAGGTGTACGAGGGAAAGGATAGCCACCTTGAACCTCCAGGTTGCTCAGAACATATGGGAACCAGTGGCAAGATTGTCTGGGACCTGATATTCCCCGTGATGAACAAAGGGTACCAGTTGTAGACAGACAATTTTTAGAACTTTAGTCCCACTAAGTTTGTGAGACTATACTAATTACAGTTGCAATAAAAAGTATGTGAACCCTTTGGAATCATATGTATTTCTGCACAAATTGGTCATAAAATGTGATCTGATCATCATCTAAGTCACAACAATAGACAATCAGTCTGCTTAAACTAATAACACACAAAGAATGAAATGTTGCCATGTTTTTATTGAACACACCATGTAAACATTCACAGTGCAGGTGGAAAAAGTATGTGAACCCTTGGATTTAATAACTGGTTGACCCTCCATTGGCAGCAATAACTTCAACCAAACGTTTCCTGTAGTTGCAGATCAGACATGCACAACGGTCAGGAGTAATTCTTGACGATTCCTCTTTACAGAACTGTTTCAGTTCAGCAATATTCTTGGGATGTCTGGTGTGAATAGCTTTCTTGAGGTCATGCCACAGCATCTCAGTCGGGTTGAGGTCAGGACTCTGACTGGGCCACTTCAGAAGGCGTATTTTCTTCTGTTTAAGCCATTCTATTGTTGATTTACTTCTATGCTTTGGGTCATTGTCCTGTTGCAACACCCATCTTCTGTTGAGCTTCAGCTGGTAGACAGATGGCCTTAAGTTCTCCTGCAAAACGTCTTGATAAACTTGGAAATTCATTTTTCCTTCGATGATAGCAATCCGTCCAGGCCCTGACGCAGCAAAGCAGCCCGAAACCATGATGCCCCCACCACCATACTTCACAGTTGGGATGAGGTTTTGATGTTGGTGTGCTGTGACTATTTTTCGCCACACATAGTGTTGTGTGTTTCTTCCAAACAACTCAACTTTGGTTTCATCTGTCCACAGAATACTTTGCCAGTACTGCTGTGGAACATCCAGGTGCTCTTGTGCAAACTGTAAACTTGCATCAATGTTTTGTTTGGACAGCAGTGGCTTCCTCTGTGGTATCCTCCCATGAAATCCATTCTTGTTTAGTGTTTTACGTATTGTAGATTCGCTAACAGGGATGTTAGCATTTGCCAGTGACTTTTTTGTAAGTTTTTAGCTGACACTCTAGGATTCTTCTTCACCTCATTGAGCAGTCTGCGCTGTGCTCTTACAGTCATCTTTACAAGACGGCCACTCCTAGGGAGAGTAGCAGCAGTGCTGAACTTTCTCCATTTATAGACCATTTGTCTTACCGTGGACTGATGAACAGCAAGGCTTTTGGAGATACTTTTATAACCCTTTCCAGCTTTATGCAAGTCAACAATTCCTAATCGTAGGTCTTCTGAGAGCTTGTTTGTGCGAGGCATCATTCACATAAGGCAATGCTTCTTGTGAAAAGCAAACCCAGAACTGGTGTGTGTGTTTTTTATAGGGCAGGGCAGCTGTAACCAACACCTCCAAACTCATCTCATTGATTGGACTCCAGTTGGCTGACATCTCACTCCAATTAGCTCTTGGAGATGTCATTAGTCTAGGGATTCACATACTTTTTCCACCTGCACTGTGAAAGTTTACATGGTGTGTTCAATAAAAACATGGCAACATTTCATTCTTTGTGTGTTATTAGTTTAAGCAGACTGTGATTGTCTATTGTTGTGACTTAGATGATGATCAGTTCACATTTTATGACCAATTTGTGCAGAAATCCATATGATTCGAAAGGGTTCACATCATTTTTCTTGCAACTGTGTATTGTCTTAGGACTATTGTATATACTATTATTACTATCTACCTCTTGGCGCAGCTCTTCTTCAGTTTTTTGTATCACATGTTTTATCTTCAGAGGGTTTGAGGGTTACCCTTTGTTGGACCGCTGCCTACATTCTATTTATAATAGCGCTGACAGTTCTCCCACTCGTTTTATTTAATTTACTTAATGCAGAGTGCGACCCACAATGCTTTTTTGTTGTTCAAAAAAGCAAACCCTGGAATGCATCTGAGTTTTTACAGTTTCAGCTCCAGATCATTTTGGGGATTTTGTACCGTGATGCACCTGATGCACCGGTGGTGATGGGAGAGTTGGGGCTACACATTGTATTTTTAAAATCCCCTCTACTGCGGGGAAAAAAAGATGCAGAGTCTGTTTTAAGAGGGGGCAGAGAACTGATAACGTATATTACTGTCCTGATTGCCCTGGACAGCCATGACTCTGCATTGGGGACTGCTTCAAATGATACCACACACTGGTCCATTTAAAAAAAAATGTTCAGGTTTTTTTTTTGGTTTACCCTATGTATGGGGGTTATGGGTGTACTCCGGAGGCCTTGCAGAAAACAATCTGGAGTGTTTTCTTGCAATAACCAACAAGGGGCTCTCCTAAATCACAGTCAAAAAGCAATGTGTGTGTAAAAATGAAAATTGAAAAATGACCACCACACACTTTGTATATATTTGAAACTGTTTTAGCCCAAATAATTGGAGACTTTCATGGCAATAAATAAAACTGGGGTATGTGATAAGCCCCAAACTAAAGATAGGCCTATCAGAAGAAATCCTTTTCAATTTCAACTCAAATTACAAGTGATACAGTTGTAACTGAACCTTCCCAAAATCCTGGCAAACCTAGACAAGGAGGCCTTGCAGAAAACAACCTGGAGCGTTTTCTTGCAATAACCAACAACAGGCTCCCCTAAATCACACACAAATGTGTGTGTAAAAATAAAAATTGAAAAATTACCACCACATATTTTCTCAAATTTTTTGACTAAAACTATTGCATCAAAGGCATCAAAACACTACATATACAATAATGTGGGGTGTCAACTTTTCAAATATATGCACGCTCAAGGCAAGAAAAGAAATTGGGATATCTAAAAAGGCCCTCAAAAAGAAGATAGGCAAAGAAGATATGTCAAATTTGAAAATCACATGTCAAAAGTTTGACATTGCACCCCCCAAACAACCCAACAAACCTGTACATGGGTGGTATCACAGCACTCAGGATATGTTGCTGAACACATATTGGGGTGTTCTTTGGCAGTAACACCTAACAGGAGCTGAGAATCCATGTCTAAAGTACAACGTGAGAGAAAAATAACACAAAAAAAGACTACCCAAATGTTTGACAAAGACTGGTGGTAGAATTAGTGCATGGAAAGTGTTAAAATACCATAAAAAGTAGGGTGTCTACTTTTCAACAATATGTGGTTTGATGGGGGTAAATTACATTTGCCGGCTTCAAAAATGTCCCAAATGGGACATGGGTGCATGATGACCAGCTGTGAAAATTCCAAGTTGAAAAACAGGAATGCACACCCTCCAAATAAGGTATTTTAGCCCCCAGAGAACCTGACACACCTGTACATGGGTGGTATCACTGTACTCAGGAGATGTTGCTGAACACATATTAAGGTGTTCTTTGGCAGTAACCCTTAAAGTTCTCAGTACATGTATTCTTAAATTGCTGTGTGTGTCAAAAAAAAATCACCAATTATTTATTTTGTTAATTTGGCATAGATTGGTGGTAAAATGGTTGCATAAAAGGAATCAATATACCCCAAGTTTAATACCTTAGTTTGTCTTCTTTTAAAAAAATAGATACATGTGAAGGGTTATTCAGGGATTCTTGACAGATATAAACCTGCGTTAATTTTGGGAAAAAATGGTTTGGAAATAGCAAAGTGCTACATGTACTTATTTCCCTATAACTTGCAAAAAAAAAGGCTAAGAACATGTTAACATTGGATATTTCTAAACTCAGGACAAAATTTAGAAACTATGTAGCACGGGTGTTTTTTTGGCGTTTGTAGATTCGCAACAGATTTTGGGGGGTCAAAGTTCGTAAAAGTGTGGTTTTTTTTTTTTTACATTTTATCATCATATTTTATAAAAAAATTTATAGTAAATTATATGATATGATGAAAATAATGGTATCTTTAGAAAGACTAATGGCGAGAAAAACTGTATATACTGTGTTGGTACCAGGGCCGGACTGGGGATACGAAGCAGCCCTGGAAAAAAATCTATGCCAGCCCCATAAGTCATTGTGCTATGTAGGGTGTTTATATATATATATATATATATATATGCAATTGAAATAGTTGGCTGCACTCTTGGATTTCCTTTAAATGTAACTTTTATTGAAATATTTAAGAGAAGATCAACGTTTCAGTCCCTCTTGTGGACTTGCATCAGGATCATGACGAAAGTCCACAAGAGGCACTGAAACATTGATCTTCTCCAGACCAGTCTGGTCACTAAGGGGTTAAGCATGGCTTATTTTGCTGCATAATTCTCATGTTAAATTTCTTGTTTCTCTACTTACTTTCTAGTGAATATGGTTTTGCAGAGAAGGTTGTGGAAGGCATGTTCATTGATGTTGGCTGTGTCAGTATAAAAATTAAATCCCGTACATTTCGAGCATCACTTCAGCTCTGGCAGTTTCAAGGATACAGTGTAAGCCCAAATTGGCAGCAAAGTGATCTGCGCTTTACACGTCTTACGCATCCTCAGTGGGGACAGGTAACATTCTAATTTACTTTTTTGCGGTTTGTTGTAAAATTATGTCATACTTAAAGGACTACTATAGTGCCAGGAAAACATACTTGTTTTCCTGGCTCTATAGGGTCCTTGGGTCCCCCTCACCCTCTGGGCCCCCCTCCCGCCGTTCTCTAGGGTGAGGAAGGGGTTAATCCCTTACCTTTTTTCCAGCTGGGGATTCTCCTCCTGCTTTTTCCCGTCATCGGCTGAATGCGCATGCGCGGCACAAGCCATGCGCGCATTCAGCCAGTCCGTAGGAAAGCATTCTCAATGCTTTCCTATGGACGCTGGCATCTTTTTACTGTGAAAATCACAGTGAGAAGCGCGGAAGCGCCTCTAGCGGCTTTCAATGAGACAGCCACTACAGGCTGGATTAACCCATTTGTAAACATAGCAGTTTCTCTGAAACTTCTATGTTTACAGCAGAAAGGGTTAATCCTAGATGGACCTGGCACCCAGACCACTTCATTAAGCTGAAGTGGTCTGGGTGCCTATAGTGGTCCTTTAACCTCCTGTTTTCTCCCTTTCAGGTTCTTACCTTTAAACAGATCACCTGGCAGACTCTTCGTATTGAAGCTGATGCATCAGAGAGCTGTGAGGATGCCCCCAGCACTCCTCTTCGTTTGCTTACAAATTCAGGACGCATAAATATTGCACTTAAGAGAAGGGTAAAATTCCCCTGCTGCTCTAAAACTATGCATTACCCCATAGTGCTTCATAGAATATGCGTGAATAACCTTTTCACTTTCTTTAGATCAAGGACTGTCTGGTGCTCTCCTCTGAGTTGTCCTTCTTCTTAGATGACCTCCTTTGGGTCCTAACAGACTCTCAACTTCGGGCTTTACTGTCTTACGCAAAGTCCTTGACTGAAGCTATCCAAAAATCTGTGCGGCAGAAAAAAAAGACAGGGGGACAGGTGATATATATTTATTTTTTTTCTTCCTCCTTAAGTCTCCACCTTTAAATCACATCTCTCCTTACTTCCTATACCACAGTCTTAAATAATATTTATATCTCTTATTCCTTCTTTAGGTCCCATCTTCACCCACAATTCCCAATATTTGGTCTGATAGCACCCCTCCTCCTTCAACATCTTCTGGTTTATGTCAGTATTTTGAGAGATTTGATGTGAAGGAGACATCATATCATCTATTGATCTCCAGGCTCGACTTGCATGTATGTGATGAGAGCCAGGCTCAAGGGACAGGTACATAACCAAGGGATTATACAAAAGGAGATAATATTGGACATGTGCAAAGATGCATGCAGTTTAGAAAGCTAGACTATGAAAATATGACACAGAGAATAAAAATGTGCGAAGAACAAAAATCTAAAGCTAGTGATAAACCATATGTATAATGTTTTTGATATAACAAAGCTCTTGTCTCTCTACAGTCTCAGGTGGGGCTATCCAGATGACCCTACACCGAATCACACTAGACTACTATCCTTCCCACAGAGCAGGTAAGGGAAATAAGTAAAATTACCTAAATTGTGCTGGAAAGTATTGCATTTTGCTTCAATCCAGGACTATATTTGAGTTGTACCTGTAATACCATATCAGGCCCAAAGTTTTTGACCAATGCCTTGAGCGTGTTTATACAATTAGGGATGCACCAAAATGAAAATTCTGGTCCGAAACCGAAAATTCAGGATGCCCTTGGACGAAAACAGAAAATGACTTTTTTCCCCAAATGATTTAAAAAAAGTTTTTTCCCCTATAATTTTATTAATATTAGACTTTTTTTATTAATCTAATATGGAAAACTTCCCTTCTCTTTTAGTGGTCGTCCCCCCCCTTAATGTTCCTCTCTCCCCCCTCTAGTGTTCCTCTCCCCTCCCTCTTTTTTAGTGTTCTTTCTCCCCAGTCCCATAGTGTTCTTTCCCTCTTCCTCCCCAGTCCCTTAGTGTCCCCCCATCCCCTGTCCCATAGTGTTCTTTTCTCCCCTCCCCTGTCCCATAGTGTTCTTTCCCCCCACTCCCCTGTCCCATAGTGTTCTTTTCTCCCCTCCCCTGTCCCAGTGTTCTTTCCCCCCATCACCTGTCCCATAGTGTTCTTCCCCCTCCCCTGTCCTATAGTGTTCTTCCCCCCCCCTGTCCCATAGTGTTCTTTCCCCCTGTCCCATAGTGTTCTTTCCCCCTGTCCCATAGTGTTCTTTCCCCCTGTCCCATAGTGTTCTTTCCCCCTGTCCCATAGTGTTCTACCAACCTCCCCGATCCCATAGTGTTCTACCAACCTCACCTGACCCATAGTGTTCTTCCAACCTCACCTGTCCCATAGTGTTCTTCCAACCTCACCTGTCCCATAGTGTTCTTCCAACCTCACCTGTCCCATAGTGTTCTTCCAACCTCACCTGTCCCATAGTGTTCTTCCAACCTCACCTGTCCCATCGTGTTCTTTCCCCCCCATCCCAAGTGCAGTATTCTTGACTTTTTATGTTATCATTACTGTCTTTCATTGTGCAAGCATGTCTGTTAATCTATGCACTACAAAAATAAAAATTATATTTTAAAAAATTTTTTTTTTTTTTTTTTAACATTCCGGTATATTAGACTTGTTTTGGCCTGAAACGGGATAGGCCCATTTTGGCCGAAAATTTCGACAGCCGAAATTTCGGTGCATCCCTACCTACAATAATTACAAAAAGTACTGCAACAGCGCTCTGGGCATGCACAGCCCTTAGTAGGGATGGACAGCATGAATGCAGTCAGCTTGGCATGTATCCACACTACACTGACATGTTACTTTTTCCACTTAGATAGGGGACAGGAGTGCCCTTTAGGTTTGTGCCAGTGATGCAGTTTGTGTAATTTGCCTACCCTCTTTTGGTCCTCCACACCTGTCTCGAATTTACTTACCCACCTATGTTGAGAGGTATGCGGTTCAGTATCTTAGCTATAGATAGAATGCTTTTCTAGGCTAACAGCGGCAGTGTACCACATTTTTTTTTTTTTTTTTAAAGGCATGTTTATTTTAAATGCTGAAATCAACTTATGCAATAAATATGTATAAAACTTATATATTTTCTTGTATTGGTTGATATTAAAGAAATATGTTGATATTAACCCCTTAAGGACCAAGCTTCTGGAATAAAATGGAATCATGACATGTCATGTGTCCTTAAGGGGTTAAAGGACCACTATCGTGCCAGGAAAACAAACTCGTTTTCCTGGCACTATATAATCCTTAGGTCACTCCCACCCTCTGGGCCCCCATCCCGCTGGACCCCTTCAGCCACTTACCTTAATCCAGCGCCGGGCTCCCTCGGCGCTGGTGACCTCTCCTCCGACGTCCTCTCCCGAGTGGAGCAGCATGTGCAGCCAGAGCCGCGCGCGCATTCAAACTGCCCATAGGAAAGCTTTACTCAAGCTTTCCTATAGACGTTCTGCATGCTCAATGCGATTTTCACATTGAACACCGCAAGAGGCTGGATTAACGCTGCAATGTAAACATTGCAGTTTCTCTAAAACTGCTATGTTTACAGTTGCAGGGTTAAAACCTGGGGGGACCTGGCACCCAGACCACTTCATTGAGCTGAAGTGGTCTGGGTGACTATAGTGGTCCTTTAAAGGAATATATGTTACTCTAATGTAACTCTTTTTTTTTTCCCCTTTGCCCATTTCCTAATACATTTTAACCTATTATTATTATTATTATTATTATTATATCATCATCTATATAGCGCCATCAAATTCCGCAGCACTTTACAATGGGTGGACGAACGGACATGTAGTTGTAACCAGACAAGTTGGACACACAGGAACAGCGGGGTTGAGGGCCCTGCTCAATGAGCTTACATGCTAGAGGGAGTGGGGTAAAGTGACACAAAAGGTAAGGATAGCATTAGACTAATGACAGTTGCAAGAGAGGAATCAGTCGGGAGCTATTAACAGTTTAATTGATACGCTTTTATGAAGTAGTGGGTTTTTAATGATTTTTTGAAGGAGTGGAGACTGGGTGAGCATCTAATGGAGGAGGGAAGCGAGTTCCACAGGAACGGCGCAGCCCTTGAGAAGTCTTGAAGGCGAGCATCAGAGGTGGGAGTACGGACAGAAGATAGACGTAAGTCTTCAGCAGATCGTAAGGGCCTAGACAGGACATACTTGTGTATTAGGGAGGATAGATAGGTGGGAGCAGCATTATGTAGAGATTTGAAAGCAAGAACCAGAATTTTAAATTGAGCTCTGTATCTTACAGGAAGCCAGTGTTGGGACTGACAGAAGGGTGAGGCGTGGGTGGTGTGGGCGGACAGGAAAATGAGCCTCGCTGACGCATTCATTATGGACTGTAACGGCGCAAGTTGGGAGCACGTAAGACCACTGAGAAGCGGATTACAGTAGTCAAGGCGGGAAAGGACAGTGGAATGGACCAGCACCTTAGTCGCATCTAGCGTTAAGTAACGTCGGATACGTGCAATATTTTTTAGATGGAAACGACAGGATTTGGCGATAGACTGAACATGAGGCTTGAAGAAGAGGTCAGAGTCAAAGAGAACACCTAGGCAGCGAGCCTGCATGATGGAGCTGATGGTAGCACCGGTGACTTGGAGTGAGACCAACGCAGGAGTAACAACAGTTGTGTGAGGAAAGACCAGAATTTCAGTTTTGGTCAAGTTGAGTTTAAGGAAGTGGGCAACCATCCTGTTAGAAATAGCAGAGAGGCAGTCAGATACACTAGTCAAGAGGGACGGGGAGAGATCCGGAGAGGACAGGTAGATTTGCATAGAAATGATATTGGAAGACAAAGGAGCTATTGAGTTTACCAAGGGAGGCAGTATAGATGGAGAACAGTAGGGGACCAAGGACTGTACCTTGGGGGACACCAACAGAGAGGCGTTGGGAAGAAGAAGTGGAGTCAGAGAAAGAAACACTGAAAGAGCGCTGGTAGAGGTAGGAGGAGCACCAGGAGAGAGCAATATCTTGTAGACCGATGTTGCGGAGGATGAGAAGAAGCTGTTGATGATCAACAGTGTCAAAAGCTGCAGACAGGTTAAGGAGTATTAGCATAGAGTAATGACCACGAGATTTTGCAGTGAGTAGATCATTGGATACTTTGGTCAGTACCGTTTCCACAGAGTGCTTAGCGCGGAAACCAGACTGAAGCGGGTCTAGAGTTGGACTCGAGGAAGTCTGTCAATCTCGCATACACAACTCTTTTTTAAGGATCTTGGATGCTAAAGGCAGTAGCGAGAGAGGACGGTAGTTGGATGGGGAGTTAGGGTCAAGTTGGGCTTCTTTAGAATTGGGGTTACAGTTGCATGTTTGAAGGGCAATGGAAATATACCAGAGGAGAGAGAGAGAGATTGAGAATTTTAGTGAGAGGTGGAGAATGAGAAGAAGACATAGTACGGATAAGATGCGAGGGACTTTAATCTAGGGAGCAGGTGGTGGGGCGGGAGGACTGGAGCAGAGCAGAAACCTCTTCCAATGTCGCGGATGTGAATGAACATAGAACAGCAGAGCGAGTGAAGTTTGGGGAAGTATTGTAAGGGGAGGAAAATGAGAGATCTCTTTCCTGTTTGTAGAGATCTTGTCAGTGAAACGATTTGCAAAGTCTGAGGCAGTCAAGTTAGTGGGTGGAGGAGGAACAATAGGACGAAGAAGAGAGTTAAATGTGTGAAATAGTCGTTTGGGTTCTCTGGAGAGTGATTTCCTATTACATTTTAACCTACATGATTGACCCTGCTTGAGAGCTCATTTCCCCATCACGGTGTAATTCTGAAACTAAACCTCATGCACTGTGACAGCTGTCAAGAAGAGCACAGGGTATGGATGAAGGAGGATTCTCCTGTCAGTCAGTTCTTGGCATAGCTCTGACATGTAATGGAAAATAACTATTTTTATTTAATCAATAAATTTGCTAGGATTTCTGCTAAAACAATGTATGGATAAATTTGCATGCTGTTTCAAGCATGGATACCTTCTGTTATGTCTCATGAGCTAAATTCGGCATCAGCTGATCACGCTAAGCCTGCAGTATCAGGCGTAGCTCAGTCAGAGAGCTTTTGGCTCTCTGTCTGAAGCACTGGAAGCAGACCCCGAGTAAGAACCATTCTAAAACAGTTTGACTAATTAAAATTAGTAGGGGGTGGGTGCCAGGGCCCTGCTGGCATTATACGAATTGTAGAGGTTATGGTGCTTGGAATGTTCTTTAAGCTCAAGTTGCTGTGTCCAAAGTGTATATCCATAAACAAATATGACTTGCTTGTTATATAAAAGAGAGAATCATTTGTATGTATATCTCTGAAGCGAACAGAGACATGAAAATACCCATCCTGTTTAAAAAAATAAATACACTGAAACACACATTTTATGATTCCAATGAATTCAGTTTAGAAAAAACATTGCATTTAAAAGTTCCCTTGATTTCTCATTCAACATAAAATAATGCAAAACAAAGAAACAATAAATGGCCGCACATACCCACAGTGTACACAGTGGGTAAACTTTAAGAGAAAAATGAAATATAAAAATATAGTTATAATTTTGTTGAATTTACAATAATTGAAATTGAGTGTAACCAAAACAATCTAGCATCAGGCAAATAATAGATCTAATCGAAAAAGTGCAGACGCAGACTATAAAATTAATAAAAGGAAGGGAACATTTTAGTTATGAAGAAAGGTTAACACATTTAAATCTTTTTGGTTAAAAAAAAACGGCGCCTCAGAGGGGATATGATAGCATTATACAAATATATGCTGGCCAATACAAACCATTGTATGGAAATCTATTCACAAACAGGACATAGAACATGAGAGTGTACATTTAGACAGGAAGAAAGGAAATTTACTCTAAGGCAAAGGATGTGGAATTCTCTGCTTTAAGGGGTGTTTTTTTTCACAGTCTTTCAGATGTTTAAAAGACAACTGGCTGCAACATGTACTAAAGTCACAGATGCTAAGAAAAGCTTATATTCCATACTCTGTTCTGACAAAATCTAGTTTCACCCAACCTTAAAATAAAAAAAATGTGCACAGTATTTTCTTATGCCATGTTATGTTTTGCTATTGAGAGGCTTCCTACAGCTATCGTGGCGTAGCAAGCAAGATTCTTCAATTCATGCACAAACAAAATAAAGAATAAAAAAAAAAGACAACTGGATGAATACTTGTGAAAACATAAAATTCCGGGATATCATTTTTAATTAGTGGGGTAATAGCTTCTTGATCCAAGGAGAGATCGGACTGTCATTTTGGAGTCAAGAAGGATTTTCTTCCTAGTTTGTTGCAAAACTGGAAGTGCTTCAAACTGAGTTCTTTGCCTTTGTTTGGATCAACCGCAAAAACAGATGTGAGAAAGGCTGAACTTGATGGTTGCATGTCTCTTCGTCCTATGTTATTATGGATAGTATAGAGTTCAGAGCACCTAATTTAGAGAAGCGAAATTCAATTTTGTAAATGTGACTCCCATCTTCTTGCAGGGCAAAGCTGTGCTCACTGGCTTCACACCTCCTCTGCAATGGGAACATGTGAGCAATGGTTAAAGGATTTAGCGGAAGAAAGGAAAGAGGGTGAGGAACCGGAACTCAGTAAAATGGGAAAGGCATCTGACTTAAAACAAAGGCAAAGTATGATGGCATATTACATCTGATTACACCTTTTAAAAACATTTTTGATCTACTTTTTTCATCCCCTGTATACACAATTATTCTATTCTTTCTATTTTACTCCCATTTCACTATCTTTATATACCTGATCACTTGGTTCTCTGCTTTACTAATCTTTTTTATTCTTCTGCCTACACCACTTTCTGTCTTCTGCATTTCGTACTGAGTGTTTTAAATTCCATATGCAGATGGCAAGAATCCTTCCTCCCCTTCATTATATTTCCGCTCAGTGCTGATCCGTGTAGACAACTTGGACATACATCAAGTAAGATATGTGAAGAGGAAATAAACCATGTCTGTACACAGGTCAATTACTTTTTTTTTTTTTTTCTTTTTTTTTTTACTAGAGATTAAAAAACTAAATAAAACTGGGGGACATAATGTAATGAAGAGCTGGAGCTTAAGAGGATGGGGATAATGAATAGGAGTTTAAAGACGTATTACCGGTCTGTAAAGCGGCTGGGTTTAAATACGTTTTTCAAAGGAGATAAATAAACACTGTGCATTTTAAACTAAATATATTTATTTTGCTGATGTTTGAGCAGTTAAAATGAATCTAAGCATTGTTGTGTTGATTATTGTAGCAATATGTTCTGATTGTGACATGTGCATATGACTGTGTAATTTGCATTAGTAGTAGAAAACCAAAGTGCCCTTGGTTGTTTAATGACTCAACCCTGTTAGGGGAAGCTGCATAGTAGAGTAGTAAGTGGTGTTTCTCCTGGGGCTGTACTGTAGCCCTGCCTGCTAGACCGACTTTGATACCCCAGGGACTAGGGTGGTGTCCATTAGGGAAATGTGACAATAGAGACCCAAGTTTGTGAGGTGTGAGTTTCATGTGGTCCTGAGATTAACCTTTATGTCCGGGCAAAAGTGCGAACAAGATTCAGTGGCAAGAAATCGTAAAAGAAAAGATATATGTGTATATAGTGTGTATTTTTTCTTTTATATCCTTTCCTTTGTCTTTCTCCTTTCCTTTCTTTCTCTGCTTCTTCATATAATTTTCACCACAACTAATGCACCTATATCTGCTCCCAAGGAGGAGCTACTGTTTGGTATACTACTGAGGCAGAAATAGCTCTCAATACTGCTTTATCTATAAGGGTCGATAATGGCCAGTTATATTATCCACTGATGGTCATGGGCTGTTATGTGTGTGAGGAGAAAACCACATAATCATCTAAGCCAATGTTACCTCATACATATATGCACTCTTGTAGAACTGGAATATTTTAAGGATGTAACACTGAAATAATGCTAGAATTCCCTTGTGCAACTTGTTAAGTACATGATATGTTCTGTTATGCTAAAGCTGCAAATGTTGTGGTGAAATAATAACTACATAAAAACTAAAATAAACATTGTCAATAAAAAATAAAAATATAAAAGTCATGTGAAAATAAGAAAACTAAGGATATGACTAATTCATTATATCAAGTAATTGCTATTTACCTTAGGTATCCTCATCTGGTCACACACCACAGAAGCCTCCTCTTGTTTCTTGTGCACGTATTCCCAGTTCTTGTTCTGCTGTCCATCTACAATATACCGAGTATTATTGCTTACCGGGAGAGAGCCTTCCAGGTACTTTAGCTTTGCTTCAATGTCACTACTGTAGCTTTCATTCAAACTTAATGGTTAGGTATTTCGACTTCTATATTCTCAAAATGTTCTATTTTTATTTATGTATTTAATATTTTGCAGTACCGTCTCCTGCGCTATACATCCAAATCCATGGTTTACTGCTCTCTCTTGCGGCACCTACCATCTTATGGTTGAATCTCTTTATGCTGGATCTCTCTCACCACCTGCAGCAGTTTGCTGCTGTAAGTTCCACAGTCGGTGAGGGAATCACTGATAACAGAAACATTCGCCTAGACGGATTCAACCTCAAGGTGCATACTAATAGATTGCCTGTGTAAATTGTTTTCTTGCTTGTTTAACGTATATGCTCCCACATCATTGCTTTACATTATCCTTTTATTATCCTCCCTAAGTCTTCTCCATCATGTATAAAAAGCAAACATTTAATTTATTTTTATTATGCTATTCTCTTTTTTTCCTTCTATGCTTTTCATTTTTTGTTTAAATGATCCCAAAACTCTCCTGTGTTTGTTTCACTGCTTTTATTTTTTCCCCTTTTTCTCACAGCTCAGTTTACCTGTAGAACCTCCTACATGTAGCCCTCCAGAACGCCCCTCTTCTGTCTGTGCCCAAATCTCTAGGGTTACCCTGACAAATACACGACAAGCCCCAGGTTCCTCGCTTGACCTCCTGCAACGTACCTTCCGGTTATTTGCTGCACAGCCACTACTTCATTGGCCACCAGGACCCTTGCATCCTGTGTTTGTTTCCCATGCATATCCATCTTCTTCTCCCCCTTGCACATCTCTGTGGAGCTTGCACAGTTCTGGCTTATCTGTAAGTTTTGGGGGATCGGGTCTCAAGCACCAGAAACTTCTTCATCCAATTTCTTTTACTGCTTGGGCTTGCCTTCTCCACCCTGAGCATCATCTGCAGGTGCTGTTGAATATAGAAGATTTGATAAGGGTGCAGCTCAATCACTATCAATACCTCACCTTGCTCCGTAGCCAAGAGCAACTGCAAAGTCTACTAGAGAACCTGCAGAAATTTGAGCCTTTGTCTTCAGAAATTGCACTGACAACTCCTTCTGCATTTCCTACTTTAGTGTGTGTAGGTCTGCTGATTTCAACTGTGAATTTGTCTCTCCTATTCCCTGTAACTGCTTGCTTGGAAACCCCACTACAACTGGGAGACTCTGAAAAGAGCAGCCTAATTGGGTTGGATTTGGCTGAAGGACCTGAAAATGGTGGGGAAATGTCAAGAGCAAGTCCCACCAAAGATGGAAAAGTTCCCATCACCGTTCATGCCAAGGAGGCACAACAAAAATCCCTGGATGGTACTCTGCATCAAAATCAACCTGCTCAAGAGGTTCCACAAAAGATGCTTAATTTAATGGAGTTGGCAAAAGATGCAATGGGAAAAACAGAGGTGGTTAGAGATGCTGTACAGAGGACAGAGCTGGCTGTAGATGGACTGCAAGGGAAAGAGTTTACATATGATACTTTGCTAAGCACACTTGGTCTGACACAAGAGAGACTCAGTTTGGGGAAAGAGAGAATGCAACGCTTCTTGAGAGATACAAGGCAAAAGTGTGTGATCGATGTCCCACTGCATGTTTCTGTTTTTTTAGTTTTCTTGTAATACCTTCCTTTTTGCTATTCCTCTTTTGTTTCATGTATTCTTTTCTATTTCTTACTGGGGGTTTTTCTCAACTCTGTATTTTGCTTTGTTTCTACTTTCCAATGCTAAATGAACAATATCTGTTTTGTTTCTTAGAGATAATGATGCTTCCCACTGTCGCTCCAATGCAGCAATCTCTCGAACACAGTCTCAACAATCTCTTGAAACTGCCTCCTTAGAGGGCATTGATGTTTTGTCTCTCGACAGTGAAACTAGTGATGGCTTCACTATTTTACTTGAATCTGGTAATCTTGACAGTGATATTTTGTATTTACAATTGTGTTATTAGTGTTCAGTCTCAACTAAAATAAAGCTGTTATACCTTATTTCAGGATTCACAAACCAGTCTCCAAGGCACAGAAAGTTTTCAAATATTTGTCAGTTTTCCTGTCATAACAGAATTGGGAAATGCCTAAATCCTGGGCCATTTGTATATCTTGAGGATTGAGTTGGGAATCAGTGCCTTATATAGTGATGTTTTTACCATTACTGATTTGCACAAATAAATCTTACATATTGTTTGTTTTACAATTTCTTTTGCCTATAGATATGTCCTCAGCCCCACAAATACTTTCTGTTTATTGATTCATTGAAAGTGTACAATATATTGATAAATATATAAAAAAAAAAAAAAAAGATTCTAAATATGACATTTGAAAAGCTGTGCTTTGTTTAGCTCACTATCTCTTTTCCTAGAAAATGTATTGCATCCTGGGGAAGCTGATAGAAGTGGAGAAAGTGCAGATGATATATCACAAAGTACTGAGGGACCCGAACCACAGCAGGTCAGTGACTATAAAACATGCCAGTGAAAATTGGGCAGAAATCGGTACTAGATGAGGATAAGCGTACATGAGTTCAAGAAGTTATGAAAAACAATTATACAAATTAGTGATCGACCGATGTCCCCCCTCCCAGGCCACAGGTACGGGGGAGGGGGGGGATATACAATATACTTGTTTTTAAAAACAAAATAGAAGAAAAGTTATATTTGCTTTGATCTGCTTCCCTCCCTACCACACACACAATAACACCCTACACATTCACACATTGCCCCACACACACACAAACTGCCCCCTCACACAAACACTGCCCCCCCGTACACACCTTGCCACACACATAAACTGCCCCAATACACACATGCTGCACCTCTCACACAAACAATGCCCCTCAAAACACACACTACCGCTCATACACACAACCTGCACTCATCACACACACGGCACCCCTTACACCCAACCAGTGCGTGTAATGCCCTATGTACCTGTGGCCAGGGAGGGTGGAATAAAATGATTTTCTTTTTATTTGATTTTTTTTAATGTAATAATTATATATAGTCACTCTAGATACTGTTTCTTTGCTCTAGATTTTGTTGTTAACACTTCGCAGTGTCAGTTGTGTGTCACATCTGCAAGGGAATGATATCTCGATTAGTGTTGAAGCATTGGATGCCTCCTGTGGACTAACTCCAGAGAGTGATGAAGGTGAGAATATAAGACCATGCATAAGAGAGAGCTCAATATAGATATAGAAATATATCAGTGTTTGAGTGGGGGATGATGCAATAAATTCATAAATAAATTAGGTTTTACTGAACATGAAAACTTTTTCATTGCAAATGTTAGATGCAATTGATAGGCCTTATGCTCTTCCTGTGTTTTTTTTTCTCCCTTTTCAAATCTCAGCATAACTCACATTTCACAAAACCTTCTTAACTGGAAGGTAATCATTGTAACAATGAGAGATTAAGTGTGAGCTGATTTGACCCCGTCCACAGCCATTCACTGTCTTCTTATCTTTATAATATATCAAGGAAAGATGGGCAGAGAATAAGTAGTCCTTTAAAATGTACTGTAATTTCCTTCATTAACCTTCATTGCCTCTGTATTTATAATGCTTGAATATGGTGTTTGAAAACACAAACTACATGACATGAGTATAGCAACGTCCCACATGAATATGTGCCTAAAAGTTTTATTGGACATCAGCAACATAATTTCCAAATTATACTACGGGCTGTGATATTATAGCTTCCTATAATATCACAGCCCAATAGTGGAATTTCCCACTGACAAAAGTACGCACTTCTTTAATTAAACACCTTACTTTTATTTCACCTGTTTTCATAAAGTCTTTTTCCCACTAACTGCACATGCCTCCTCTCCACCATAAGTAAATCTCTTAATTATGTGCCTAAATACTCAAGCTACATCACTAATTAAGATAATATATATACTTATATATAGACTACAGTATTGTGAAGTCCTGGCACAACACTAGCTGTACAGAGGTTTATGGCATGTACATATCAGAATAGTTGATGAATCTGCGTGTTACTTCTTGTTTAGGTGAAGGGATTAACCCAACACATAAAACTTGAACCAATGCTATCCTAAAAGTATGAAAGAGATAGCATTACAGGACCTTAAGTTGGGCAGGCTTAACGCAGTGCCAATAGACAGACTGTAAGAGCACTGTGAAGGCTTATTTATAGGTTTGCCGTTGTTAGCTAGGCTTACGTCATTCCTGTGCACCTAGAGAATGACACTGCTCTTGTTGTGTCTGAAAATTGATGCTGGAACGTCTTTTTACAAAAGGACGAGGACTGCTTCACAATTGATGCTCAAATAATGCAGCCTTTGCTGAACATCAAAGCCGATGCGAGAAGGAGGCGAAGGATGAAAAGAGAAACAAAGATCCACATGTAACCTTACACCTGATTAAAGGCTTTTTTATTCTTAATATTACATTTTCATCTGGTCGCAAATATTAAAGGGTTACCCAACCAAACAGTGTTCTCATAAAACACTGTTTTTAGTTATAGTAACCTTTTGCTCCGCTGGCATGCCTCCACAAATAAAATAATAAAAAGTCTGAGTAGTGATTTAAATCAACTTGCTTTAAATCAAATCCATTCTGGTTGTAGTGGTATAGTGTACATATATTAAAGTTAGTGGAGAATGTCCTATTTTCTTCTTGCGCACAGGTTTAGTGACAACTACCCCTCCATCTTCACCATCTCCATGTGTTACGATGAAGTTTGATTTAGGACCTGCTGCAGCACATCTCTCGCCGCTTGCCCTTCACAATGGCTTCTTGCAAGTAAACATCCAAAGATTTTGTTCAGAACTGCCAGTATCTTCCCTAACACACATTGGACCATTTCTGGAGGATGAACAGATTTCTGAAATATTACCTATGATCATCCAGATTACCAACAGTAGTATTACACTCAAGGTTAGTCCATGTGAATTGTCACAAACATAATATCTGTATCACGGAAATTAGACTTGTGTAACAAATGTTTCAATCAAAATATAGTTCTTTTTTTGTTAGTGAGTGTGTCGTATACACATTTAGAAAGTTTGCAACCAGTTTCTGAGTAGAAAAGCCTGGTGGTTTGCTACAGGGGTTTTAATATGTAGAATATATGTGATAAACTAGAGTGTTTTCTAGCCATGGACAATGATTGACATAGTATCCACTATTTCTGGGATTATTCTACTTCGTTCTGTGGAGCACATTTTCTCTGATATGCAAAAAAAGCTTTATCACTGCAGCTGCTTTCAAATACATTTCTCTTAAATGTTAAGTCAGCCAAAGAGCTGCCTGAGCAGCGTGTAAGTGCAGTCCACTGTAGCTGCTGTGAGAAACGTTTATGTGAAACAAATATAAATTATGAGTGTGAAAGGAATTGCTGTCATTTCTAAGTGTATGTCAGAAAAGGGTATTTGTGGTTTGTCTGCTTGCGCAAGGGGAATTGGTGGTGTGTAGAATGGGAAATTGAATGTGTTTCTAAGTGGGAAAGAAATTGAAGGTCTTTGAGTGTGCGGGAAGAGAAATTGATGGTTTGTTTAGAAAAGGAAATGGGATTGGTTTTGTTTGTGGTTTCTATTTTGACAATTGTTGTTTCTAAGTGTTTAATATGTATAAGTGAGGTTTAATTGGACTGTTCCTGATGTTAATTGATGGTGTTCTGAAGTACAAGGATTTACACCACAACATAATTTTCTGATGCCATCCCAAGATATAAACATGATGGTTTGTTGGTTGGGCCAATTACCCTCTGTTACACTCGTTGATACAAAACCTTTGTTTAAAGATAGACAGAGTTGTAGTTCTGACCGGATGGCCCTGCCTCTCTATCCCTTCACCCCTTTTCCCAATAATTTCATTTGCTTTACCACATCGGGCATCTTTACTATTTGTTATCAGAATACGCCTCTGCTCACCAAACCAATTTATGCCAGGTCATTAGAAAAATTGGAATGACATGTACAATTTTAGATAATAAGACATGACAGCTGCAAACACTACTTGCAATCAGAACACTCCTACACTCCGTTAACCCCTAACACTCCTCACAACACAACAGTTCTCATACTCCTTACTTCTGCCCATTATGCTTTTCTCAAAGTACTTGCTCATCTGAGCAATGCTCTATCTTCTCCTCTTTTCCTTTTCTCTCCTCTCCCTTAGCATCAAAATACATCACTCACCAACATAAACACATCCAAATTAATCCATCTCTGCTACACTTCCCACTTGTCTCATCTCATGCCCTGCACTCCTTTCTCTATTCTCTCTCACCTGCTCCTACCCAATCTCATCTAGACCCCACCCATATAAAACCCATTAACACCTACTGTCACTATCTCTCCTCCTACTTCTAGCTGCTGGTGATGTCTCTCCCAGCCCAGGGCCCTTCACCTCGTCTGCTCACACTAAAACAACTAGAAAGCACACAAACCTCATCCAAATACCCTGCAGTTTATCCTCCTCTACCAACATTCAATGTGCACTCTGGAATGCCCGTTCCATCTGTAGCAATATTAAATCATCAGCCATACACAACCTCTTCATCTCTAATTCCCTCATACTACTAGCACTCACTGAGACCTGATTTTCCTCCTCTGATACCGCTACTCTAGCTTCTTTATGTTTCGGTGGACTACAATTCTTCCACACTCCTAGACTCAACTGTAAAGGCTGTGGTATAGGCATCCTTCTCTCCCCTCAATGTACCTTTTAACCTACCCTCCCTGCCCCTGCCCTATCCTTTATTTCCTTTGAAGTTCACACTGTCTGCACATTTAAGCCCACTCCTTTAAGAATTGCCATCATTTATTGCCCCCCTGGTCATCCGAGGCTATTCATTGAACACTTTTTTTCTTCCTGGCTACCCCACTTTCTTTCCTCTAGCACTCTAGGACTTTAACATCCCAATCAACAACCTCAACTGCCCTGATGCCTTCCGTCTGCTCTCTGTAACCTCCTTCTTCGGCCTCACACAGTGGTCTACTTGAGCAACCCATACAGCAGGAAACACTCTTGACCTCATCTTTACCAATCTCTGTACTACCTCTAATCTCTCCAATGTTCCATTTCCTTTATCTGACCACCATCTGCTTACCTTTGACATCAGCATTCCCCTTAAACAAATTTCACCATCCTCAACTCTCCAATCTCGCAGAAACCTCCACTGCCTTGATCTCCAGCATTTCTCCACCAAACTCCAAACTCTCCTTTTACCCATCTCAAATCTCACCTGCCCTAACTCTGCAATCTCACTCTACAACTCCACTCTCTCCTCTCAACTAGACTACATTTAAACGCAGCAAGCGTTCCCAATTACAACCCTGGCGCACCCAATATCTCAAAAAATGTTCCAGAACTGCTGAATGCTGTTGGAGAAAGTCTCACTCTGCACCTGACTTCCTCCAGTATAAATTTATGCTGTGCTCCTACACTCTGGCTCTTTCCTCTGCACAAGTAAATTACTTCAACACCCTCATAAGCACACTTTCCCCCAAGCCCAAATGCCTATTTCACACGTTTAATGCTCTCCTTTGCCCTGTTGCTCCCTCTCCTCCTACCACCATGTACCCCTCAAACTCTGCAACTCACTTCACTGATAAGATTTCTACAATCAGGGAAGAGATCTGTAACCTCTCTCCATCCCTTCAATACATCTTCCAATACATCACTCAACCCCACTCACTCCACTGTTCTATGCTCATTCTCACCTACTACAACGAAAGAGGTTTCTGCTCCGGTCCTCCCGCCCCACAACCTGTTCCCTCGATCCTATTCCCTCGTATCTCATCCGCACTCTGTCTCGCTTTCTTGCTCTTAATCTCACCCTTTCTTCTGGCACATTTCCTTCACCCTTCAAGCATGCAACCATAGCGCCAATTCTGAAAAAGCCCAACCTTGACCCCAACTCCCCGTCCAACAACCGCCCTATATAGCTACTGCTGTTTGCATCCAAGATCCTTGAGAGAGTTGTGTATGCGAGATTGACAGACTTCCCGAATCCAACTCTTTGCTTGACCCGCTTCAGTCTGGATTCAGCGCTCATCACTCTGTTGAAACAGCTGTGACCAAAGTATCCAACGATTTAATCGCTGCTAAATCTCGCGGCCATTACTCTATCCTAATTCTCCTCAATCTTTCTGCTGCCTTTGAAACTGTTGATCATCAACAGCTTCTTCTGATTCTCTGTAATCTCGGTCTACGAGATACTGCTCTCTCCTGGAGCTCCTCCTACCCCTCCCAGCGCTTTTTCAGTGTTCCTTTCTCTGGCTCTGCCTCTTCTCCCCAATCCCTCTCTGATGGCGTTCCCCAAGGTTCTGTCTTTGGTCCCCTACTGTTCTCCATCTATACTGCTTCTCTTGGTAAACTCATCAGCTCTTGTGGCTTCCATTATGAATTATATTCAGATGACACGCAAATCTACCTGTCCTCTCCTGATCTCTCTCCGCCCATCTTGACTCGTGTCTCTGACTGCATCTCTGCGATTTCCAACTGGATGGCTGCTCACTTTTTTAAACTCAACCTATCCAAAACAGAACTTCTGGTCTTCCCTCCCTCAAGTGTTGCTACTCCCGTGTCTGTCTCCCTCCAAGTCAACGGTACCCCCATCACCTCTACCTCGCAGGCTCACTGCCTAGGTGTTTTCTTTGATTCCGACCTCTCCTTCACCCTCAAGTCCAGTCGATCGCCAAATCCTGCCACTTCCATCTCAAAAATATAGCTCACATCCACCCTTATTTAACACCAGATGCGCTGGTCCATGCCGTTGTTCTTTCTTGCCTTGACTACTGCAGTCCCCTTCTCAGTGGTCTTACGTGTTCCCAGATTGCACCGGTGAATGAATGTGCTGGCAAGCCTCATTTTCCTGTTCGCCTGCACCTCCACGCCTCCCCCCTCTGTCAGTCCCTACATTGGCTTCCAGTTAGATAGAGGGCTCAATTTAAGATTCTGGTGCTTGCTTGCAAGTCCCTACATAATGCTGCTCTAACCTACCTATTTTCCCTAATACAAAAGTATGTCCCGTTGAGGCCCCTGCGTTCTGCTGAAGACCTACGTCTGTCCTCTGTCCGTACTCCAACATCTGATGCTGACCTCCAAGAATTCTTCAGGGCTGCACCTTTTCTGTGGAACTCCCTTCCCTTCTCCGTTAGGCTTTCACCCAGTCTCCACTACTTCAAAAAATCTTTCAAAACACTTCAGGAAAGCATATCATTTAAACTGTTAGCGGGTTTTCATTCTCTCTCCTCTCTCCCCATCCCCGTCCACCCATGACTCCTCTCCTGCAACTGTCAAAAATAAATAAAATCTTATCACCGAGAAGAAGACCAACCTCAAAAAAGTTTGAAGTACATTATGAAAAATTAAAGCTAAAATTATTGATCTGGAAAAATCTGCCTTTTAAGATAATAAGCAAATTATGTAATCCATAATATTACGAAAAGGGGGGGAAAAAAAGATTTTTGTTTAATTTATATTTATTGTATATTCTTTGCTGAATTTTGGGGAACAAGCGCTGAACTCATTTTCTTTTAAAGGGAAACCATAGTGCCAGGAAAACAGAAGAAGTTGAAAACGATGTCCCTTGGCGCTTGTTCTGGTCCGTTGACCTAATGTGCATACATGGCAATGGGCGTGCTTGTGTTAGGATTGCCCCAAAGGAAAACATTATACAATGCTTTCCTATTGGGTTTTGAGTGATGCTGGACATCCCTATGCATAGCATGAGAACATCCAGTCGCATAACAGCCTGCAAATCTCTCTAGTGGCTTAATGGTGGAGTTAACCCTGAAAGGTAATTATTGCAATTTATTTAAAAACTGCAATAATTATCTTTGCAGGATTAAGGGAACTTGGACACTGCACCCAGACCACTTCAGGTCTGCTTAAAAATCACTGTATACAAAGGCATATATATTGTTTTGTTTGTTTAAATTATATCCCACTTTCTAGTTACTCTAATATTAACTGTGCACTCTGTGACAGGATGATGGGCCACGAATCTACTTTTCCCCATTGCTACCTCCACCAGTCACCCTCACCATTCAGAAAATCCAGGTTCAACGGAAAGAGGATGGGACTTTCTACATTACAGGTATGAATCCAACATAGTGGATTAGCTATCTAATTTGTCAAACTTTGATGCAACAGTTTTTTTTTTATTTTTTGTTTTTTAATTATAATCAATTATTTTATGCTGCACTGTTTTTTTCAAACCATTTCTCCTATGTGATTGTAAAGTCTTTTATTTTGTATAATTTATATTATTGTTGTCAGTTATACCTGTGTTGTTCAATGCTTATATTCTTGTTGAGTGATCATTTTTCATTTTGCCTTGTTTAATTGACTAAATAATCTTAACCCCTTCGCGACCTAGGACGGTTCAGGACCGTCATCGGCATTTTTGCCTTGCAGACCGATGACGGTCCTGAACCGTCCTAACGGTCTCCGTTACTTACCTGATCGCCGTCGTTCCCCCGGCGGCGATCAGCGTTGCTCCGGTTGTGGGGAGACTGCCTGCAGCCCAGACAGTCTCCCCACACTGAATTAGGACCCCCTGTGGCCATGTGATCGCTCAACACAGCGATCACATGGTCACAATAGGTGTCCATAGTGCTGCCTGCAGGGGGACTGTCTGTGCTGACAGGCAGTCTCCCTGCTAGTGTAAAATCAGAAGAAAAAAAATAAAGTAAATGTTAATAAAAAAAAATAATTATATATGTGTATACATATATTATATCATATATAATATATGTCTATATATCATATATATATAATGCCATATTAAGTGTATTTTTATATTAATATGTACTTATATTAATATAAAAATACACTTATAATTAAATTACACACGTGTATATATATATAATATATATAATTATATATATTGTTTATATATATATATATTATTATAAAATATAAATAATAAGTAATTTAAATAATTTTTTTTTTAAATAATACAAATTTTAAAAAAAAATTATATATCTATATGAAATTTTATTCTAATTGTATTTTAAAATTAATATATATATATTTATATCAAAATACACTTAGAATGAATTTGTATATATATCTATGTATATAAAAATAAATAAAAATAATAAGAAATATACATATGTCCATATACAAAATTACATAAATAATTATATAAATATACACGTAGACTTCAAATATATAAATATGCATATATATTTAAATTCTACGTGCGTATTTATGTAATATTTTTACATAATTCAGTAATTTTATTGATTGCAATTTGAGGGACCTGCCTGCCAACCCAGGCCGAAATTCCAGAGAATTGAATTTGCTAGCACTGTATTTTACCCTGTAACGTTCTACGACACCCTAAAACCTGTACATGGGGGGTACTGTTTTACTCGGGAGACTTCGCTGAACACAAATATTAGTGATTCAAAACAGTAAAACATATCACAGCGATGATATTGTCAGTGAAAGTTACTTTTTTTGCATTTTTCACACACAAACAGCACTTTTACTGATGATATAATTGTTGTGATACGTTTTCCAGTTTTTAAACACTAATATTTGTGTTCAGCGATGTCTCCCGAGTAAAACAGTACCCCCCATGTACAGGTTTTATAGCATTTTTGAAAGTTACAAGGTCAAATATATGGGTCAAATATTTTTACATTGAAAATGGCCAGGTTGGTTACGTTGCCTTTGAGAGCGTATGGTAGCCCAGGAATGAGAATTACCCCCATGATGGCATACCATTTGCAAAAGAAGACAACCCAAGGTATTGCAAATGGGGTATGTCCAGTCTTTTTTAGTAACCACTTGGTCACAAACACTGGCCAAAATTAGCGTTCAATTTAGTTTTTTTACTTTTTTCACACACAAACAAATATGAATGCTTACTTTGGCCAGTGTTTTCGACTAAGTGGCTACTAAAAAAGACTGGACATACCCCATATTGAATACCCTGGGTTGTCTACTTTAAAAAAAATATGTACATGTGGGGTGTTATTCAGAGATTTATGACAGATAATAGTGTTACAATGTCACTATTGATAAATTTTAAAAATGTATGCTTTGAAACCGCAATATCCTACTTGTACCTATAGCCCTATAACATGCAAAAAAAAGCAAAAAAGCACGTAAACACTAGGGTATTTTTAAACTCAGGACAAAATTTTGAATCTATTTAGCAGTTTTTTTCATTCGCTTTTGTAGATGAGTAAAAGATTTTTCAAGTAAAAGTCAAAAAACATGTATTTTTTTCAATTTTTCATCATATTTTTTTTATTTTTTTAAATTAAAATACATGAGATTATATAAATAATGGTATGTAAAGAAAGCCCCTTTTGTCCTGAAAAAAACAATATATAATTTGTATGGGAACAGTAAATGAGAGAGTGGAAAATTCCAGCCAAACACAAACACCACAAAAGTGTAAAAATATGCCTGGTCGCAAATGTACAACATCGCAAAAACAGTCCAGTCCTTAAGGGGTTAAACTTCCAAATGCTGCTCCTATAGATTTCTATTGTTAATTTATATAATATATAACGCAGGACTCCGTTTTCTACCTCTGTCTTTCCCTTCTTGCTAGCAGGTAGAAAGTGGTTCCTGATTGTGCAGCCTGGGAGAGTGTGGAATGTGCATGTATTTAGTGTAACTGGAAAGAGACCTTCCACGGTGCCATTTGTTGATTGTGCAATATGAGAGACAGTGTGCAGCACCTTTAGCGTCTCCATGGTCTGCATGGAGACGCTGTACACTCCCCATAAAGGTGCATTGATTCTATGGGAAAGCATTGGATGGGCTGAGATAATCAAGATTGATGATCCTCGCAATTAAGGTGGGGCCAGTCATGGCGAGACCGGTGTGGCGAAGGAGAAAAGGGGGCGACACATAAACAGCCACTCCAGAACTAAAGTGTTAGGATTACATGTTTGCATTCCTAACACAATAGTGTTCCTTTAATTTGAACATTTTTAGAATCCATTATGTTTATCCGGTACTGTATAGAGTAGATTAGTACAAGGTACAACTGTAGAGTCTTATTCTTCTCACATTTAAAAGAGTTTTATGGTTTTGTCTTTTCAGTTATTTAGCAAGATATAATCATAAGAAATGTAGATAAGAAAATAACATACCATGTTTAACGGAAACTAATTGATGGCACCATTGATATCTTTTACATCTCTTCACATTTTGTACAAAAAAAAGTAATGATGAAATAATGCATTAGTCTTGTAAATATAACTGCAACAAAATTACCGGTAATTTGCTTTGCATTCCCAATGGTGTTTTTTCAAAAGCACTATTTATTTAATTTGTTAGGTAAAATTATCTTGCTTATGAATGATTGGCTGGAGTGAAATTCTAACATACATATATGTAAATAAAATTCTCAAGCATATGTGTGTGTTGGTAAGATGTCTAGTTTGTAATTTATGCCACAGTCATAAACTTTGCCATTAACAAAAAAGAAAAAAAAAAGAACTATTTGCAACTTGCAATTTGCAACTTCTGTCATTTAACTTCTTTGCTACTGAGCATCTTCTGAATTTCAAAACATTCAGTTTGTTCATGGTTAACCCAAAATAAGCAAAGCAACTAACTAAAATGCAAATACGTGGGAAACGTCAAAAGAATTCATGGTAGATAATACTGTATTTGTGTAATTTCTATGGTATTGTGATTTGTTTAGTTTAAAACACTAACATAGAATGATACAATTTCTCCCATTATTTCTAAGCATTAAAAAAATAAGCAGGGGCTCTCCCTTAGACAACACAAAAGACACAGACATACACCAGAACATCTCCGAATTCCTAACCCACCTAAACCTACTTAAACTACACACTGCCGCCATCGCGGAACTATCCGCACCCATAACCAAAGATGAAATCAACTTGGCCATATCAACCCTCAAAAGCAACAAGGCCCCTGGCCGGATGGCTTTGAGGGAGAGGCTACTATAAAACCTTACGAGAAGAACTACTCCCACACTTGGAAGCCTTATTCCAAGACATAATGATAGAGACCCCCCCGAACAGGGACATGACACAAGCAAACATAATATTACTCCCTAAGCCGGGCAAAGACAACACCCAACCAGAAGCATACTGACCCATCTCTCTCAAATCATGACAGCAAAATATTCGCCAAGATCCTGGCAGGGAGACTAAATCCATTCCTGACACACCTAATCCACGCAGACCAGGTGGGATTCATCCCAGGCAGACAACTGTTCGAGAACACACGCCGAAACATAGACATAATCTGGACACTGGCTGCAGGCAAAACCCCATCCCTAGTCCTCTCCCTTGACGCTGAAAAAGCTTTCGACCGTGTAAAATGACCCTACATGTTCGCGCTACTTGAGCACCTAAGATTCCCCCCCCCCTATATCACAGCGGTACGGATACTATACACTAATGTATCGGCACAAATAAAAATATCTGGAGCAACCTGCCCACTATTCAACATAAGCAATGGCACCCGACAAGGATGCCCCTTACTGTTTGTGCTGACCCTCGAACCACTCCTCCAGGCCATCAGGGAACACCCGTGGATCTCTGCAGCCCAGATAGAGGACCACCAGTTCCTGACCCCTGGATACGCAGACAATGTATTGCTCACCTTGACCAACCCCATCCCATCCATGCACGCCCTGCTCCCACTTCTTCAGTCCTACAGCAACATCTCGGGCTACAAAGTCAACATAGAGAAATCCAGTGCACTCCCCTCGAATCTCACACAGACGGACATCGCCCAAATCACCTCAGACCATCACATACATATCTCACCCATGTCCCTCACATATCTCGGCATCAAACTACCAGCGGACCCCACCACACTCCATAGACTACACACCCATGAATGACAAACTCATATCAGATATGGAAACCTGGGTGGACACAACCATATCCTGGATAGGGAGAATACACTAGGTCAAAATGAATATTCTACCCCGAATACTATTCCTGTTCCAGGCCCTGTCCAACCCCATCACAAAACATGACCTTGTGCCATTGTAGCAGGCAATCGACCGGTTCATTTGGTAGAACAAGAGACACAGTGTCCTGCAATATTCTCTACCTCCCCAAGGCAAGAGGCGGCCTGGGCCTACCCCACCTACAATTTTACTACCTGGCGGCCCAATTGACGCAAATTTCTCTATGGCATACCCCCCAAAAAACTAGAAGATGGGTTGACCTGGAATCGTTGCTCATGAAATCAGATCTCCCACAATTCTACATCTGGACCCCGAGAGAACACAGAGCTCTTCCAAGAACATCATGCCCATCCATAACCAACTCCATCCAATTATGAAACAGGTTCACCCTTAAGTACGAACTAATGTCCGCAACCTCCCCCCTCACCCTGTTATATCACAATAGGGCCTTCATACCGGGTATGAGGCCATGGGACTTCAGGGCCTCGAGCGCGGTCGCCGCCAGGTGTCTCCGTGGTCTCCTTCCCGGAACTGCAATCTAGAGCAACCCTAACCCCATCTGACTTCTTCAGATACCTCCAACTCAGAAACTACACCACCCTAGCGACGGTGAAAACCGCCGCCAAAACCAAACTGACCTTCTTTGAACAAATCTGCCACGAGGAAAAATATCAACGGGGCATGATTACCCAACTCTAGTCCCACCTCTGTTCCACCACTCAGGAATGGGTCGACCTGCACTACACCGACAAATGGGAAACTGACGTAGGCGATACATTAGAGGGTATCGACTGGCAAGACATATGGGAGGCCAATTCAAAAACCTCATTATGTGTCACAATGCAGGAACAATCCTATAAAACGATGTTCCAGTGGTACACCACACCGGTCCAAATATACCATATGAAAAAGACACCCAGCGACCTTTGCTGGAGAAGCTGCGGAGAAAAAGGGACCTACACCCACATGTGGTGACATTGTCCCAAGATAAGTTTATTTTGGGAAGACATCCAAACACTGACATCCCAGATACTATCCAGACCGGTCGAACTGAACCCATGGACGTTCCTGCTGGCAAAACCCTTTGACAACTGGTCCAGACCAGAACAACAATTGCTTAACAAAATCGCCCTAGCAGCCAGAAGGGCCTTAGCTCAAACCTGGCTACGGCCCACCACACCCCCCATGGCCATAGTGCTCAACAAAATTAAAGAATGCCATCTCATGGACAAACTGACAGCCCAAATACGAGGCTCCCTAAAAACGTTCTCCAAGACGTGGGAACCGTGGGAAAGCTACATTGACAAGCAATAGGGACACGTGAACTGACCAGGGACCCGACAGACAAAACAACAACCAAATCCCTATCACCTAACCCCCCCCATCCTGCCCCTCCCCCAACCACCCTCCCCTACTTCTACTAGGTCTCGACAACTGGTACCCCGGCCTACTGTTCATTGCACCACACAACCAAAACAAGATCCTAATTAAACTTACTGTTACTATTCGTTAAGAATGTTTTCTTACCCTTCTTGTATAAAAATCGCTGACAGATTGTAGCTACTATACCAGTGTTCACAAAACATACCATGTATATTGACTGTGATTCCGATCCAACTCTATACAACTGAACCACGCACAGGCTTTAGCACAAGCCACTAAACATCAAGAATGTAATAACCACTGTCATTGCAAAAATAAAGAATTATAAAAAAAAATAAGTGGGGACACTTATCTTTATATTGTCTTTTTGCTTCTTCTTGCCTTTCAACCACAAAATAAAAAAATTGCCTAGCCCCTTATTTCTATGTATTTTGAAACACATAACATGTGAACTTCAGAAAGGGGATATATACCTATTTAGGTGACATTTTACTATTTATAGTCCTCTAAAGTTTTTGATAAATCGATAAAATTATTTTAAAAAAAAATAAAATAAAAGTTGAATGTCAATAAAATTGAGCCATATATTTTTCTCATTCCTTCTGTTTAGTAAAATACTATAGTGGTTCGAAAATATAAACAATTTAGAAAATATTAAATATTTATTTTAAAAAGTTTATAAAATATAAACAAAAATTCAAATCACTTATTGATCTAGTTATTTAATGCATTATTTCTTATTTAAAATGGGCCATTTTATAGCATGTAAACTGTGAAGCTCATTTTCTTGAATTCTTTGGGGAATTGGCACTTCCCCGTACAGTGTTTCATGTATGCATAATGGCACGCTGTATCAGACGCTACTCATAGTTACTCCACTGGCTGCTCCAAAGCCTGTATCTCAGTGGGAAAATGAGCTAGAATATTTACTGAGGAGCAATGGCAAAAAAATTACATCTAGCTTATCGGAGTTTGTTTCATTGAAGATACAAGAATTAAATTATTAATTAATAGCTAGATTGCACAGGACTCTCCAGTCCCTTCTCTGCATGTCAAATATCTGTTAGGTGTTCTTAAATAGACCTTATCAGAACAATATGGAAAATAAATATTGGAGTTCTTTAAAAATCAGTCAGTGGTTATAGTATGCTCCCTAATCCAAACAATATGTTTTCTTTATTCTTCTAGCACATCTTTGGTTGACACCTTTTCTAGATGTACAGTGACATGCATAACAATAACCTCTAAAAACATTACTGTTTCAGGAGATGACAAACACGATGACCTATCACAGCATAAAGAAGAATCATGTATGAAATCTCAAAGCAAAGAGGTGAGACATTGGACTTTTTCAGCACTGTATATCAAAAGATCAGAAACATGCTAAAGGGAAAATCTAGGTTAAGAAATGCATATTTTTAAAGTGTTACTCAAAGCACAATGAACACTTCATTGATTTGAAGTGATCATGGTGCTTGGAATCTGTATGTGCAGCTTCTCATTGAGAAACACTGCATATAACGACTTTACATTCACAGGCTAGCTAATGGGAATACATATTTGGTGTCTGTTTCATCAGGGTGCATAGCATGGTGGTGACAAACTACCATTAATGGCATTCACCCCCTCTTGTGCCGCCCAAATCCTACTGTCAACTGTTCTCCAGAAGTCCCTTCCCCTTCAGCAAGGTGGAGTGAAGTGACGTCACCAGAGGTTCTGGCAGAATGGTCCTTCCTCTTCTGAAAGTTATGCAGCTAAGCTAATCCTTTTTTGCCCATCACTAACCTCCTTGATGATATTGGTCAGTGTCCAAACACATGTTTCTCAATTGTAAGCATATTTGGAGGCTAGCATAAAAATATATGTAAAAATAGAAAACATTAAAATATATATATATTCTTAAATCATTCTTGGATCTTTTACAAATTATGCCTCGATTTAGTATTATTTGATAAGCTTTTCAAATGCTTTCATAATTTATCAGATTTTTGATATTTTAATATATTGATGCCTCTATGAATAAAATACATAGTGCTTCTCAGCAGGTTTGAATGAGTTCTTGTTTCCTCCAGTGAAGGTTTGATTTCTTAAATACTAATAAAGGGCTCACTACATTTTTGGGTGGAAATCCTGCATTCCTCATATCAGTTAATGGAGAGAATTCTGGTAACAGGACAAATGTACTGTTAAAATACATACAAAAATATAATATTCAATAAATCTTTATATTCATTTTCTTGAAAGTTTTCTGGCTATCACATTGTGCTGTTTTATAAAACAGCAATCTTCACATTATTCTATTCAAATTAAGCGTACCTGCCATTAGCATAACACACTAGAAATTGTGGAAAGCTGTAGCCTTCATGTGGAGTTTGGAGCCCGTAAATGCCATTTGTATTGAATCATTTACCACTATGCCTGCAGAAAGAAATACTAAAACAGTATTTATCTACAACATTTCCCATAGACATCAATGGTGACTTTTGTAAATAAATAATTTCAAAGGTTTTTCGAACAGATTGTGATCACTTTAAAAGCTTACCCAAAATATTAAACAGAGGTCTTTGTTTTATCTCTATCTCAGCAGGCATCCAACAAAAATTGAATTTAAATGCTCCAACCTCCACATAAATACTGTAGCATTCCAGAAATTCTAAAGTGCTATGCTGCATGTGTCATTGAGTGGCAGGTGCCTACAATATGAATAGAACAATGTGTAGATAAATATTACATTGATGCCTACTTACCCATTTCCTTATTCCTTATGAGCGTATGCCTTATTTGTGTTTGTTCCATTAGGTGATCCAAGGCCCCTGTCATTATTTCCCTTCTCTTAACTGTGAGAGTGGGCAAAAAAAACAACATAAACAAATATAGATATTTATAAACACAGTTATGAAGTATTTATTTATTATGGGCAAGTAGACCACTAAGGAGTTGTACAGACATCCTAATAAACCACATGGTTTATAAATGACTAAAGAAACAATGGATGGTGTTATTTTTCCCCATGTTCCAGAGTTATATAATTTTTATATTTACATGATTTGTAAAAAATTAAAGTTGGGGCGTGTCCTAGACACGGACCGGAGCAGCCGCATGTAGACAGAGCTCCGTGCCGTGACGGCTAACAAGGATTAATAAAAAGCATATTTTACAAGAAAACGGAATAAGAAAACGTCCGAAGCCATAATGTCTCAGCCCAAAAGCAAAAGGGCTGGAGAGAAGGGTGAGAAAAACAATTTCTTCACCTCGAGAGCAGCGCAGGGTAAGGCCTCAAGCCAGGCTGAGCACTCCCAAGATGGCGCCGGTGGCGAACCTGAAATGGAGGCCCAGAATGGTGAACAGGAAAACCCACTGACCCACAACTCCTTGAAAAAGCTGCTTGAGGAGATGTCAGACAAGATTGTGGGTAAGCTGGACAACGCTATCAAAGACCTTTGTAAAGAAATACAGGATATAGGCCAGCGCACATTGCACGCAGAGGACCAACTCGCAGAAATGGAGGAGGCCCACAACTCACTGACAGACACAGTAGAAGGCCTGGTTGAAAGACTAAATAGCCAGGACCTCAAAATAGCCGACATGGAGGACCGGGCACGCCTCAATAACCTGTGGATAAGGGACAGTGAAAACGGAGAATCTCTCCGCCCACATCACGGGCCTGATGAGAGAATTGACCCCTGACTTGCCAGAAGATCTGCTCCTGCTGGATAGAATCCACAGAACGGCTAAACCAAAATCATTTTTTTAAATTTGTATTTTATTGGTTTTACAGCAAGTAAACAGTAACCATACACAGTTGCACATTGTTAAGACAGTGAACCTAAAAGAAGTGCAAGTCGCAGCTTGCTTCCAGATCGTATATTTGCTTGTTTACAGGGCCTAACACAGCTATTAGGGTGTAATTTAAGTACCTCGCAAAGCATTGTGTGCCATATACCCACAAGTGGTGCATAGTATTAACGTATGATTCAGTGTGAAATCGTAAACTGAAAGAAAACAATAACAGCTAATCAGTAAACATCACAGGATTATATATCTTATAGTTTTCCAGAGGTTAATCGCTGTACCGAATATGTTAGCTCATGTGGCCTGTTGGTTCGTCAGCTGGGTCCAATTACACCAAGTTTCTCGAAATTTGAGGGCCTGGGAGAGGGAACTCAGAGACCTTTTTTCGTGAATGTAATATTGTTGTACCTTATCTTTCAATTGTGTAAGAGATGGGCATATGGTATTTTTCCAATTTGTCGCTATGAGATTTCTGGCTGCTAGGGAGGTTAATGCTATAAGTTGTTGGTGAATTGGTTTAACCTTAGCGTCCGGTAGCAGTAATATGCAGTTGGAGATGGATGGGGAGAAGGCTGAGAGCCCCAACTATATCAGAAGTGTTCGGACGTCCTCCCACAGGGGTGTGATGCCAGTACAGGACCACTAAATGTGCATCATCGTACCCTCCTCCACCCCACATCTCCAGCACAAGGGAGATACCATCGGATATATCTTGTGTAGTTTAGTTGGGTTAAGGTACCAACGGTAAAGTAGTTTTTTGTGGGCCTCTGTGGGAATAGCATTTTGTCCATTTTGACAATCCATTTAAAGCACCCAACCAGTCTCACTCCAAGAGGTCCATGCCCAAGTCCCTCTTCCATTGGGTTTTACACAGCGGTGGTATATCCGGCTGCGTCGCTAGCCATGTTCTATAGCAAATGGAGAGGGCTTTGGGTTTAGTCGGTGTTTCCCTACATCTGAGCATGACCAAAGAAGGCATTAGCGGGTTTATCGTGCTGACAGGAGTTGGCGAGGGTAGTAAACCAAAATTTTTACCACCAACCACACCAAGAGTCATTCTGCTCAGGATGCACTACTACCATGCCAAAGAAGCAATCTTAAATGCAAGCACAAAACTAAAAGAGATGCCTCCGGCCTACAGAGGGACGGCCATATATGCGGACATCTCCTCATACACACTAAAAAGAAGACGGGACTTCCGAGAGGTGACCACTCAGCTCAGAGACAATCACCTCCCATATAGATGGGGGTGATGAGAGAAGGGAAGACTACCATCATCGGTTCCCCAGAAGAAGGCCAGTGAGTTCTGAGAGAATGGAACATAGCAGCCACGCCACTGACGTACCAAGAGGGGAGCAGATCCAAAACGCCACAGGACTGGAAAAAGAGACTGTCAGTGTGGACGCTCTATGGCAACCAAACACACAGAAATATCAGCTGCGGGGCAGGGTGACGTATGAAACCACACCACATTCACAATGTAACACAAGTGCTCCAGACAGAGCACGGGGGTGAGAGAGGGAGTACACTAAAGAGCATAAGGGGCAAGAGAGTAGCGCGACCTCAGACCCTTACTTCCCTCCCAGCTCACCAAGGAGAGTCATACCAGCTTAGCATACCCGACCAAACAACAATAAAAAAATAAAAGCTACCCACACAACCTCATTGCACTGAGAACTAGAACAGAGACAGAAAAAGAAGACACGAATACAAAAAAAAAAAAAAAAGGAAATGTATACAAGGCCAACATATTACTCAAGGCTTTAGCGTATAGTTGGGACTTCCCAACGCAAACACCAGATATAGCCACAGAGGGAGAAAACTCCCATAGGACAGGAGGCCATGCGCCTCTTCCCCCAAGGCACGACAATGCAGTGCCAAGCCGACTTCACGGTAACACCTGTTTTCAAAAATGTTTATGTAAATACATTGGTTTATGTTATTGTATTATTGCATATTGTTTTAAGTAATGTTTACACTCCACATGTTTCACACCTTGCTACCGAACATGGGATAGGGTTAGTGGGTAACCCAACACCAATCACCGCACAAATCTTGACAAGACCTGGGAGCCGCAGGCCCAAAAGGGGACCTAATCAACACACAGAGGGGAACACTGCTCGGCGCGACCAAGCTGGGAAGAGCGGTGACCCCTCAAACCATAGACTACCACATAAGAGGTAAAGAGTACCAACCCCACAAGCCACTGTGATAGTGTCAGGGGCCTAAATGCTCCAGTGAAAAGACACCTACTCACCAGGGAGGTTAGAGCAGACATACTATGCCTCCAAGAAACTCATTTTAGACATAACGACCACCCCGCAATATTGACCAATGACTATCCGCATCATTGATACTAAGCTTAGTCCGGAGAAAGCCTTACTATTGATATCGCTGGAATCATACACAAAACCACAAGCTAGACTAAAATTCCATATATTAATAGCAGCAAACCTCCTGATAGCCAGAGGCTGGAAACAGACACAAGCAACTACAAGACCCAACATCATACAACAGACATCACTAAACCTAATATATGAGACAGGGACCTGCCAGCGGCTTCACCCAACAAAGCACATGGTACAGGCCAGAAACAAGTGGGAAACATACATCGAAAGGGAGGAGGGGTCGGAAACCTGAGGAAAGAGAGAGAGGAAGAAAAAAAAAACACAGATAGATGTGAGAGGGATAGAGCATAACGAAACGGTCAACCGATGGACCGGAGACGTAGGGACTGGCGCTTCTAACTTGGAGACATGAATGAGGTTAAAGAGGACAAACAAATCATTAAACGGGCCCCAGGGCTCTGCGGAAAGAGAACCCACATTATAAATAGTTTCTGAGGGTACAGACCCAAAAAACAGAGAACCAAGCTGGGAAGAGCGGTGACCCCTCAAACCATAGACTACCACATAAGAGGTAAAGAGTACCAACCCCACAAGCCACTGTGATTAATGTCAGGGGCCTAAATGCTCCAGTGAAAAGACACCTACTCACCAGGGAGGTTAGAGCAGACATACTATGCCTCCAAGAAACTCATTTTAGACATAACGACCACCCCGCAATATTGACCAATGACTATCCGCATCATTGATACTAAGCTTAGTCCGGAGAAAGCCTTACTATTGATATCGCTGGAATCATACACAAAACCACAAGCTAGACTAAAATTCCATATATTAATAGCAGCAAACCTCCTGATAGCCAGAGGCTGGAAACAGACACAAGCAACTACAAGACCCAACATCATACAACAGACATCACTAAACCTAATATATGAGACAGGGACCTGCCAGCGGCTTCACCCAACAAAGCACATGGTACAGGCCAGAAACAAGTGGGAAACATACATCGAAAGGGAGGAGGGGTCGGAAACCTGAGGAAAGAGAGAGAGGAAGAAAAAAAAAACACAGATAGATGTGAGAGGGATAGAGCATAACGAAACGGTCAACCGATGGACCGGAGACGTAGGGACTGGCGCTTCTAACTTGGAGACATGAATGAGGTTAAAGAGGACAAACAAATCATTAAACGGGCCCCAGGGCTCTGCGGAAAGAGAACCCACATTATAAATAGTTTCTGAGGGTACAGACCCAAAAAACAGAGAACCAGCCAAAAGACACAGGGCTACCAAGGGTATTTTCCCATACCCCCCTCCTCCCCTACACCATCAAAACCTCCTTCCCCCTTACCTAAGGCAACTAAACAACTGCAAGAAACAATAGCCAAGACAAGCATCACATAAGAGCATGACAAGACTCATTGGGAACACGCAACTGCTAAATCCAACTGTGAACGATGGAAATGTCTTACTGGAATGCAATTGATGTAACACAAATGAAAACTCTCCCCCTTTTTCCTTTCTGTAACCCCAGTTTCATTACCTGAAAAATAACAATAAAAATTGTCAAATTGAAAAAAAAAAATTAAAGTTGGGAATCGGCACCCCATTTGCCATACCTCAATCGCTCTATACATATTTTATTTAACCCACCATTGCTCTCTCACTCATGTCTCTATTATTCAACAAAAAAAAAAAAAACATGTATCATAGAGTTATGTGAACCACTTACAAACAATCCTTATGGTTTCCAAAATATTGGTGTTATTTAGGAGTTACCGTAAGTCACTTTGTCACTTTGTTTATGCAGCCTTAGTCACACCTCCCCTGCATGTGACTTACACAGCCTTCTTAAATTTTTCCTGTAAATATAGCTATAATATTTACATTTCTTTTAGTACACAGTCTGTTTTATTTAGAATGTTATCTTCTGCTTTGTTAATAGCTTGCTATACCCTGCAGGAGCCTCCTGTGAGGATTAAAGTTCATTTTACCGAGCAGGAGATAAACGTATCTAAAGTAGGTTATCATCTAATTGAATATGAAACCATTTTTTTCATGCAGGCTATGTGAGTCGCAGCCAAAGGAAGTGGGGCTAGGTCTGAATGGAGAGAAACAAAAGCAATTTAACTCCTAAATGGGGGGATCTCAGTTGAGGAAATAGATAAAGCAATTAAGACATTTGAAGATGCCAGTCACATAGAACAGATGAATTTATCGTATCTTTTGGAAATCATAGAATGTGACGGCAGATAAGAACCATTCAACCCATCTAGTCTTCCCAATTTTCTAAATACTTGAAATAGTCCCTGGCCTTATCTTAAGTTTAGGATAGCCTTATCCAACGCATGCTTAAACTCCCTCACTGTGTTATCCTCTACAACTTCAGCTGGAAGGCTATTCCATGCATCCACTACCCTCTCTGTAAAGTAATACTTCTTGAAATTATTTTTAAACTTTTGTCCCTCAAATTTGAGACTATGTCCTCTTGATGTGGTAGTTTTTCTTCCTTTAAATATAGTCTCCTCCTTTACTGTGTTGGTTCCCTTTATGTATTTAAATGTTTCTATCATATTCCACCTCTGTCACGTCTTTCCTCCAAGCTATACATGTTACGATCCTTTAACCTTTCCTGGTAAATTTTATACTACAATCCATTAACCAGTTTAGTAGCCCTTCTCTGAATTATTTCCAAAGTATCAATATTCTTCTGAAAATACAGTCTCCAGTAGGGATCATCTGATTATCGTTTTGGACGATATTCCGGATTTTGGGATATATCGTTATTGGCGCAATGGCTCTGGGGCGCAAGGATCAAGTGAATGGCAGAAAGGAAGCGCACAGCGCTCCCAGAACTTGTACTCCCAGAACTATGTGTCATCTGGTTACTGGTAGGGGAAAGGGCTAATCACGAATCACTGTTCCAGTGTGGAGGATTCAACGGGGAAAGTCCTCCAGGACTGAGTGTCGTCCAGTGCCTGGGGTGGCTAGAGCAAGTTCCGCATTTGGCTCCAGGAGGGAGCGGTTCCAGGACCCCAGTCAAGCCACGGCAGAGGTGCTCCCCTGTTCCAGCTAGGAAGCGGTCCTGGGTACCTCCAGCAAGTGGTACAGGGAGCTCTGTTACATTGGTGGCAGCGGTGGGATGGCTTCCTGGCCGTGGGAAACCAGCACTACTTCAGAGATGGGAGGCAAGTACTGTCGGGCAGTATCCAGCACGAACGCCCAACTTCAGTAGCTGTTACAGGAGGTGCTACGCAGTTCTGATTACCCGATCTCCACAGAAAAAGAGACAGAATGGAGGGTGACGCTCCGAACCGAACTCTGGGTGGGGGTCCTCTGAGAAATTTTCCCAAATTCCAACCAACGCAGATGGGACTAATTCGACCTCCAAATGCCGTTTTTGGGAGAGCAGCCCCTAGATGGGTGGGTAAGTGAACTAGAGCGGTTGGCCGAAGCCGAGGTATGGTTGGACAAATCATAGCGGGCCTTACGGTGGCATGCCGGCCACTTCTACCCAGGGCTACTCCCCTACCAGCTTCTTGAGGGAAAGGACTACGTTGGACCTGGGCAGTTGTGGGAGGCTTTTGATGATCCCCATGGGTTTAAAAAATCTGGACAGTACCCACTACTGGTGCATTCGCGACAAGCGGGAAGTTAGCTTGGGGCTTACATTGGTGGAAAAATTGCAGCAGGATTTGACCTACCTGGTTAACCTGGAGTGCAAGCTCGAACAGAACTATGCTCGCTTGCTCCAAAGTGTAACTTCACCTGTCTCCGATATGATGGGGCTTATGAACTGTATACCACCGGTCCCTACTCCCCAGCAGCTATGCCTGTCATCAGGAGACCCGGGCACTGTACAACCTACTTCCCAACCAGCCCAAGAAATAAGAGACCTTATCGAATGGTCCTGGGAAGATCTCCAGTTGGCAGGTGGAGATGGAAGATATGGGCAGCCTGGATGGAGACGTTAGGAGTGGGGACAGTCGGTCCCCTCCCCAGCAGCATAGTGCGTTATCGGGAGACAAACCCCCTACAGGGCAGAGCGCCTCTGGCCTCTGCCCATCAAGCACGGATGGCTTCATAAGTGAGGTCCAGGGAGAGAAGAGTATCGGTCTCTCTCCCCAGCGTCAGTATGGGTTAAAGGGAGAAGGGATACTCGGTCCCTTTCCCCAGCAGAGGAGTTACCCCCTAGAGCGGGGAATTGCGTCCTCCATCCCCAGTGACAACTTGGTCCAACCGGGGAAAAAGTGCAGCCGGGTCATTTCATTGCAGGACACTGGGTGTATAAATGGGCACTTGTGGCAGGAGGCCTTATGGACAACTATGCCTTTTGGGAAAGGCCACCAGACTATCACAGACCCAGACCGATTTGGATAGTCTCAATTATCTCTCAAATACAGAGGAGTAGATGGTAACTTGTAACTAGTCCACTTTCAGGACCAGGTGAGGGATTATCCTGTTTGTGTGGGAGTGTCAGGGGCGTGCTTAACTGTGTCTGAAACGTATAAAAGCAAGCCATCTGGCCAGATTAAAGCATTCCAGCTTGTACTCCCAGAACTATGTGTCGTCTGGTTACTGGGAGGGGAAAAGGCTAATCACGAATCACTGTTCCAGTGTTGAGGATTCAACGGAAAAAGTCCTTGTAAGGACTAGAGCTCCCAGGACTGAGTGTCGTCCAGTGCCTGGGGGTGGCTAGAGCGGTTCCAAGCCACGGCGACTGTAACGGATCGACGGGCACCCCGACTGGGTACCTCCGTTGAAGGATGCTCCTAGCGCTTCCTGAGGGTTTCCAGCACTCCAGCCGACACCATAACCACCGTAGACTACTTCAGAGGGCAAACCAGGAACAAGCTCTTAGAAGAGTTTAGCAGTGAATATAGCAAGAGAGTATGCAGAGCATAGCAATCCCTTGTAGCAGATTCCCCCAATAAGAGACGGCACTCCAAATTGAGGGTGAAGTAGAACTGACTGTACTGGCACATACAGCCTCTTTTATTCACAATCCACAAACATAGTACTGCCCACAGGGTTTTGAAATACAACCAATCAATCTGTACAATACACCCAGACACTCCCACACAAAATCCTCCCCTCTGCCTGTGATATGATTACTGAACACAATGGTTAATATAATTATCACAGGCAGAGAAATTATAAAACATATCACAGGGACCCCAAAACATGCAATAACCCCATAAAACTATCCTTGGAACCAGGGGATCTGGGTGAACCACATATCCAAAATTCACCCAGATCCGTTCAGTAGTTTGGAAGATACAGTTTAATGCAGATTCTGCAGAACATATACAGGCTATATGAAAAATAATTACTGTTAAATGTGTCCCCTGTTCTATAGTTTAAAACTACTGCACGATGTGTTTGTGCACCAAATACCGGCGAGATGGCACCGTGTTGAAAAGTCCACACAGTGTCTGTGAGTTAAAATGGCCGCCATCCATTGTTCTCACCATGTGCTTTATCCATTGTTCTCACCATGTGCCTCTGGTACATGAAATGGTGGCCACCCAGTAACTCCACAGTATGTCCCCAGATAGTTCTTAAAGGGCCAGCAGCAGCATAATAAAATCAAGTATGCCCACATCAGTTCCTAGAAGGGCAATACATCCTAGGGCCATAGTCGCAGGGCAGGAGGCTGGCAAACAGGCCCCTCCAAAAACCAGTGGCGAGGTTACTTTCGCCACAGCGACTGTGGGCAGAAGTGCTGCGGTTTGTTCCCTGTTCCAGCTAGGAAGTGGCGCTTGGCGGAGGTGCCCAGCCAGGGGTACAGGGAGCTCCGTTACAAGCACTAAGGGGAGGAGAGAGGGGAGAGCACCACTAAGGAATAGGGATGGGAGGGACAGGGAGGGGAGAGAAACACTAAATATTCTTAAAAACATAAAATCTATTTTTTGCATATACCACTTAATAAAAAAGATGTGCTAAAAAAATTAAATAAACATGTTAAGTAAACAGTAGATTTGTGTAGAAATTGTTTTGGGGTTTTTTTTTAAACGGTAAATGTACAGAATATCGGTAAGTTATCAGCGATCTGCCTAAAAGTTCACAGATTATCGGTATCTGCTCCAAAAAAAAAAATCAGTCGTTCCCTAGTCTCCAGTACTGCATACAATACTCCAAGTGAGGTCTAACCGGTGTTCTGTACAATTGTATGAGCACTTCTCTCTTTCTACTGCTAATACCTCTCCCTATAGAACCAAGCATTCTGTTATTTATTACATTGTCTGCCTACCTTTAAGTCATCTGAAATCATTACGGCTAAATCCTTTTCCTCAGATGTTCAGGTTAGTAGCGTATCAAATATTCTATCCTCTGCCCTTGAGTTTTTACGCCCAGATGCATTATCTTGCACTTATCCACATTAAATGTCAGTTGCCACAGCTCTGACCATTTTTCTAATTGATCTAAATCATTTGTTACTTGGCTTATGCCTGCTGAAACAAACCTGTTGCAAAATTTTAGTATCAGCAAAAAGACATACCTAAACCATCAAGACCTTCTGCAATATCACTAATAAAAATATTAAACGTGAATGTGTCCAAGTACAGATCTCTGAGGTACCCCACTGGTAACTAGACCTTGCGTCGAATATACTCCATTAACTACAACCATCTGTTGCCTGTCATTCAGCCACTGCCTAACCCATTCAACACTATTGGAATCCAAACTTAAACATTGCAGTTTATCGATAAGTCTTCTATGTGCAAGTGTCAAAAGCATTACTGAAATCTAGGTAAGCAATGTCTTCTGCACCACCCTGATCTATTATTTTAGTTACCCAATCAAAAGAAATCAATAAGATTAGTTTGGCAAGATCTCCCTCAAGTAAACCCATGTTGTCTAAGTGGCCTATAGTTGCCCGACTCCTCCTTACTACCTTTCTTGTGAATGGGCACAACATTTGCAAATTTCCTGCCTTCTGGGACTACTCCTGTTAACAATGATTGGTAAAAGAAATCCATTAATGGTTTTATTAGTACACCACTAAGTTCTTTTAATAACTTTTGGTGTATTCCATCAGGTCCCATTGACTTTACTTATTTGTCTTTACTTTTGACAGTTGAAATAGAACCTCTTTCTCTGTAAACTCACATGTAACAAATGACTCATTTGTCCTTTTTCTTAACTGAAGTCCCTCTCCTTCATTTTCATCTGTAAATACTGAACAAAATTATTAATTAAGGCACTCGGCTAAGCCTTTATCCTCTTCTACATACCTTCCTTCTTTTGTTTTTAATCTAACTAATCCTTGTTTTACTTTCCTTTTCCCATTTATGTATATAAAAACTATTTTTTTTTTTATATACTGACTGTGCTATTTTCTCTTCTGTGTGTGCTTTGGAGGCTCTTATAACTTGCTTTGCCTCTTTCTGCTTAATCTTATAGATCTGCCTGTCTTCCTCACTCTGTTTTTTTTTTTTTTTAATGATTACTAAATGCTAACTTTTAGTTTTTTACAATTTTTGCCACTTCTGCGGAGTACCACAGTGGTTTCTTAATTTTTCTACTCTTATTGACAGGCCTAATGGAATTTTCTGTTACTTTCACTAGTGCAATTTTTAAATATACCCATTTCTCTTGGGCTCCATTTAACCCCTTAAGGACACATGACATGTGTGACATGTCATGATTCCCTTTTATTCCAGAAGTTTGGTCCTTAAGGGGTTAAATTGCTCCAGTCTGATAAGGACTCCTTTACGCATATTTTAATTTTAGAAAAGTCTCTTTTTCTAAAATCTAAAACTTTTGTTTTTGTGTGGTGTGACTCAGTCACTGTTCTTATATTAAACCACACTGACTGATGATCACTGGATCCTAATCTTTCACCTACAGTAATATCTGATACCAAATCTCCATTTGTTAACACTAAATCTAGTTGGCTCCTCAACAACTTGTTTTAGAGACAATCCCAGTAGGGAGTTTAGAATATCTGTGCTCCTGGCACAAGCAGCTATTTTGGATTTCCAGTTCACATCAGGAAGATTAAAGTCACCCATGATGATAACATCCCCCTTCATTGTCATTTTAGCTGTTTTCTCAACTAGTAGATTAACTCTTCTATTTGTCCTGGGGGGCCTATAAATCACACCTACATGAGTTACTGTGTGATTCCCAAATTCTAAAGTAACCCAAACTGACTGTATGTTCGCCTCACTAACTTTTATTAGGCTAGATGTTTCTTGCCTCTCCTGTCTTTTTTTATATATATAATTAGTACCCTGGTATTGCTATATTTTAATCATTTTTTTTCACTATACCATGTCTCAGTAACAGCAACTAAATGTACATTGTCCTTTCACATTATTGCCACAAGTGCAAGGATCTTATTCCCTAAACTAGGAGCATTTGTAGACATGACTCTAAGCTTATAATTTTTTAACACACTTGCTAAGGTTATGTGTGTCATGCTTTTATGAATGGAAATCTCAAGAGACTTGTCTTGCCACGATTGAGTTCCTATACCTGGAAAGAATAATCAATATTTTCCAAATTAACATCCCAGCTCTTTTATGAATGTAAAAATTGGGATGTATGCAAAGTTTTTGTATTCAAGGCTTGGACTTTTCTTTCTTAATTAAATCCAAGGTAAACTGTTAACCTGATCCATTCAGTTATGGGCACCTCTACTAAAGCAATGCAAACTTCAGTGGAATTCTCTGAACTATACTCCCTAGTAACAGTTATTTGTTTTATTTTTTTACTGTAGCAGCATACATGTTGCATAATATGGTAACATATAGGCCAAAATGACTAAAAAAGATCCATCTCGGCTATAGTCACAGCTTGGAAATGTTAACCTACATTTTGTAATTTGGTTTTCAATTCACTATAATTCAGTGTTTAGTAAATAATACTCTTATGAAACCTCCTAACATTTCAAATGGACAAAGAATGACACTTTTATTGTGTTTTTGCAAGGGGCGAGCTGATATTTTAGGTGATTTACTAATGAAAATTTATGATAATGTAATTTACTAATATTTAATTTAGAACAAGAAAAATGTATCTTATTATCTTATCTGATTTATAGACAGATTTATTATAGTTTAAAGACACATTTTTGTGAGTATTATTTCTGTGGACCTCTGTTATAAACTCACACACCAACAATATAGAGCTCCTAGAAAAGAGGGACTTTAGGATAGAAAAGCGGAACAGAGGGATTTGGGTCCTAAATAGGGACACCTGGGGATATGTCATGCTATTGTTAAGACCGATTATTACTCAGTAACTGGGGCGAAAAACAGCACAATAAGGTGCTAACCTTATAGGAATCCAGTTTTTGAAGAAGTGCAAAAAATACCTGTATCTCTTATTTGAAAACTTCTAGAATTTCTTATGTTTATTTTAAACTGTAAAGTACATTTTTCTATTAAATAATTAATGGCTCATGCTCTAAAGAGAATCACCGAAAATGTAAAAAACTATTTTATAACAAGTTATAAATATAAATGATTATTCCATATATTTAATATAAAACTTTCCTTGACAGGTGCAAATATATTTAAGGTAATACTTGTCTCTTGGCAATGTAACTGCACGTGAAACCAACCAAATCACCAAAGACTTTATGACAATTAGTATTATTAAGACCTGTAATTAAAGAGAGGAAAGTTTAGAAAGAGCATGATTACAATCTATAAAGCTTTATAAAACTAGATCAAAATCAGCATTCAGCTTCACAATATCTTGTTTGCAATTCAATATTTTGATCCAACATGACTTTGCTTTAAAGAGACACTCTATTCAACCACCACTAATTGTCTTTCACACCCAGGAACTGCAGAAAGAATTACTCATGATGCAAACCAAGTTGGATCAACAGAAAGAAAGAGAGAGTCGTCTGCTTCAAGAAGTCTGGAAATACAACCCCTCCTTTCATCTTTGACACTTACTGAGTATGCCCGTAAAACTTCTTAGGCATTAATATAACTTCTTGGTCTCCCATAAAGTTTCCATAGTTTTCCACACACATGTGAAAACTTCACAACAGGATTGTGAATGTGAAGATACAAAATCTATAAATCAGTCATCTGCTTATTAAAGCAGCATTCTAGTATTGGTGTGTAGCTAAATATTGGAAAGGTGCAGAATTAATTTTGGCCAATACATTGTACGTGTTTGTTAACAACTTTTGCAATATTCAGTGTTGCTGAACTTGCCTGGCAAGCCTTCCTCCTATCCAAACGTTAGGCACATGATTAATCTGACAAGTCCTTGGCACCACTATAAATTAAAAGATCATGTTTTAAATGTCATCAGAGAACTGATAGAGGGGACTCAGGGCTATCATGGCAAAACCAGAAAGCACAAGGAGTTGTTTAAACAAGCAGCTCCTTTCCAGCAGTGCTTTAAACAACGTTTTAACAATCCATAATTCTGCAAGGAAAAGGGTTCGCGAGCAAGACACCAGAAAGTATTTGTCTCAGAGAGGGCAATGTGCTGTTCCTACCTCCCTACAAAAAAATAGATACTGTAAGTGATAATAAATAGCAAGTGATTAATATAGTTAATTGACAACGGTACTGTTGAATCTACTTTTAGTAATCCTTGGTACTTTAAACTTTTGCAAATCAGTAGACATTTTCAGCATACTTGAATTTTTATATATGTATAAATACAACAGAAAAATATGAACATTCAACTCTTAGAATATCTTTGTAAGCAACCACATTCTATTCACCAGGTTTTCTAGTAGGTACAGCTATGCTAATTCCCTAGCTTGTTGCATCCATTTGAATGAGAAAAAAAAGGAAATCACCCATGCAGGTCTAGGGAATAAAAAAACATAGGAACATCCAATATAACAGGGCTAGGTAAAAAATCTGAAATCAAGTCAGGTTGCAATGGGAACTCAAGACACTATCATCAGATAAGGTAACAAAGACATTGAGAACTGAACAGGCATATGACTTAGCCATCTGTCAAGTGGTAGTTTACTGAAATGCCCAAAAGGAATTTTTTTTTTTTTTTTGCAGCAATTATTTTAAATGCCTATCCTCTATATTAGTGTTTTACAAAGGGGAACTAATCCCAGTGTCGCTATTTTTTTTAGAATTAATATAACTAAATAGATGATTATTTGGTTTAACACCGTTTAGTATTTTAGAAAGGTGAAGTAATCCCAAATAAACAATACCTCTTATTTTTGAGTTTTAAAAAAATGTACACTAATACACTGTTACCTGCCTTAATTTAAATATCCAGTTTTTACACATTCTGGGTGTTTATGGCAATGGAGATTAAAAAAAAAAAAAGCATATTTTGAGATCTGAAAGCTGAAAATAAACAACTTATGTAGGTATATAACATAAAGTACTAAAACTATATTCTCACTCTAGACAAAAAAAATTGGTAAAATACCTTTCTCATTGAAGTGAGCCAAAACTCAAAAGTGTCTTCATGGGAAAGGGGTTAAAGGTAAACTACAGGGAATGGTGACTACAATACCACTAACGATCCTAACAACCATCAATGCTTATTTTTATATTGGTCTGATGTGATGGAAAAATGACTGTTACAATTCCCACAATTTTAGTATATGTGTATATAATTATGTATACATGTATTTATGTATATGCATAACAGTTTATGTATACACATGCATACAATTCTGCAAACTATTTAAGCAATATTTAATTAAATGTGTACTAAACCCACCATACAAATCTTAAAAGGCTGTCATGATATATTATTTTGTACAAAAATAAAGTCTGTCTATATTTTTACCTTCTACAATCAGAACTACTATTTTCCAAAACCGCCTACAGTGGTGTGGGGGTATATACAGCTGTGGGGGTCTTCTGTATAATCTGACCAAAGAGCTTAAAGAGACACTCCGGACCCATTAGGAGTACGTACTTTTTTTTTTTTTTTTAAGATTACTAAAAGTGTAGACTTAGATATTTGCACTTTTTATAACTTAACATGGTTACACCCCCTGGCTGTCAAACAATTGCTCATGTTACTTCCTTGTTCAGCTTATATATATATATATATATACATATATATATATATATATATATATATATATATAAAAAAAAGACCAGCCACTTAATGTACTTTTGCAGATGAACAAGAAGATGGTAGTGCCTTTTAAAGGAAAGGTGAGAAATTGCAGAATAATTTGTACAAAATAATATATTTATGGCAAGGGAGCTTAACGTGTTACTCTAACCCTTCTTAAACACTCTTTTTGTAAGCTAAAATGCCCTAATGGGCATTACTATTAGGTCTCTAATCCAGTGCCAGACAAAGAGTGCTAATCTTTCCCCTCCATCTCAGAGTATATGTGGGCTCTTGGCTGTGAAAGACATGGGTGGTGGACAGGAAAGGGGGGTGGAAAAGTTGAAAATGGAAATACGGGGAGAGCTAAATAAATGAAGGGAGGCAGGGAGTGGAGAAGGAGCTTCCCTAAGGATAATAACTAAGCACGTCTGTCACCAGTGCACTGTGTGCGCTTACAACAGACATAAAATATGCCCATAATTAACATTAGGCAGGCCATAACAGAGTTCTGGTAAGCCTAAGCCTCATGTGCTGGAGGATTTAACTAGCCCATGGCATTCAATTACCAATATCATACTTTGTATGTGCAGCATTTCTGGATGAACCGCTGCACATACACCATGACCTTTTCAAATCACTAAAAATGTCATGGTGGTTGCAGTAATCCGTTAACCGGGCTTATTATTTGCCTATAGCATATATTTTTTGTTGCAGGAATCTGCTTTCTGCAAACAATATTTTGCGCAACCATATGTTGTCATTGTGATCACTATTGTGATGCATAGTACAGTAGCACAAGGTCTGCTTCTTCTAAATTTTGCAGAGTAAAAATAATATGCTTTGGATTATGGAAAAAGTAAACCAGAATGAAGTAATTTAAATAAATGAACTGAACCATCAGTGTCAAAGAGATTAATCGTTACGTAAACCATTTATTTTATCACAATTTCCAAAATGATGATCAAGTTTACTGATTAATATAACTATATATAAATGGTGTTAATATGTATAGATGATGTGTATATATAAACAGATCAAATGCATTTATACACTTGTTACATTACACCACTGTATATTTATATACGGTTGTTTGCTGCACACTTTTGATCCATGTAAAGCCTACAAGATTGTTCTTGACAAACAGAAAGGGGTCGCCGATCCTGTATGGTACCACAAAAATTAAACACATATTAGTGTTAATTATTAATAGCAATTTTCTATGAATAACTAAATATTTAAATAAAAGTATTCTCACTTGATCTTGTCTTGTCTTTTCTTTAACCAATGGAAATTGTAAATCGTACTTTAGAACATGTTTTTATTTTATGCAGCAGATAGTTCTTTAGAGAGAGAAGGATCTTTGTCGGCTATAGTAAACTATACGGGTTCTGAAGTGTGTAAATGGACATTCCTGCAACCTGTTATGACCTAGGTCCTAGCATAAGATAAGGGGAGCGGAGAGAGGATGAAAAGAGAAAAAAATTGGGATTTTTTTTAGGTAAATATATGAAGAAATACAATCTTCGGGGAACATTCGCTTGTATCTCTATCTCAAGGCCATAATATTCACAGAACTGAATTCAGCAACTGCTCCACCAAGAAGACACCCCCCTCCCCGTCTATGTTGTTTGCAAACATTCCTCCATCAGGGAAGATAAATAAGATAGCCATGGTCTCCAAAATTTCTAGGAATTTCTCTGTCCTGTCATGAATAACCGCAGTTTGTTCTTCCATGGATCTAATTTTCTCCACCTTCTTCACTCAACTCCTAAAAGTCAGGCAACCCCCCCCAGCCCCAATTTAAATTTTCCCCATCCCTTCCTGTCAAGGCCGCACATTGACTGACAGACTGACAAACATTCACTCACGGACACACACACATTCACTCACAGACACATACGCTCACATAGACACACACACTTAGACACACTTACACACACACATTCACTTAGACACATACACTTACAGACACACACACAAACACATTTCCACCAACACTCACAAATTATAATTTTTTTTATTTTCAATCCACCCAGCCTCCCTGGGTCCAGTGGGGCTGCTGATCGGGCAGGCAGGGGCCGGACAGGCTGAGTAGATGGTAAGGGAGCTTTAATCTCCCTGCTCAGCTACCTTGCGTGCCGCTTAGTGATGAGAGAGCTGAGCAGAAAGAGTTCAGGTGAGCATGCTCCCTCGCTGCCCGCCACCCGCCTCAGGGGGGACTCAAAAGTGGCCAGCTCTTGAGCCCCCAGGACACGAGGCAAACAAGGGATCTGCCTGGGCGTTTGGAGGCGGCTTTTTTTGCCGCCCCTGCAAAGTGCCACTCAAGGCAGACGCCTTGATTGCCTTGCGGAAGATACGTCCCTGGTCAGGTGTCTTTTAAACAAAGACAACAGAATCGAAGTATATGGGAGAAGCATTTTAAGGGGCCTGCATCCAGAAGTGCTGGGTTTGTTCACACTCCCACTATACATGTACAGGTGCAGTCACGGACGTCTGTGGCTGCACGAGACATACCTCTTTTAAGTGCTCAATGCCTCTAGCCCGACACAGTTTACAAAATTTTCAAGCTTTTTTAAGATATGCTCCCAATGAATACATGCCTGAAAAAAATCATGCATGTAATTCATTGGGGGCCTGTGACAAACTGAACCTTGTCACGGGTTCTTGGAGGGGCCTGCTGGCCAGCCTCTTGCCTTAGGACAGTGGCCCCTACAATAGACCTTGGCTAATGTACTTTTAAAAGGCACTGTTTGTGCAATTGGGGTTATGTGGTTCGGGAACCGAACAGCTGCACGAACCAGAGACCACCCGGGAGCTTGTTAAACCCTATTAACACCAAGTAACAATTCTAACCGCAGTGTTCCAATTATCTGTTTGGGTGGCCGCGGTTCGCATGAACGACCATGAGATGGCGACCGTCTTGTTTGCATGAACGAAAGCAGCGGTGTTTGGTCGTCGAGTTCCTGGAACTAAAAATCGGACACGGAAACTCCTGAACACCGCTGGACTTCCATCATCGCCTGCATTCGGGTCTATACATAGAAACATAGAATGTGACGGCAGATAAGAACCATTCAGCCCATCTAGTCTGCCCAATATTTTAAAATACTTTTAATTAGTCCCTTCCCTTATCTTGAGTCTAGGATAACCTTATGCCTATCCCACACATGCTTAAACTCCCTCAATGTGTTAAACTCTCCCACTTTAGCTGGAATGCTATTCCATGCATCCACTACCCTCTCAGTAAAGCAATACTTCATGATATTATTTTTAAACCTTTCCTCTCTAATTTAAGACTATGTGCTCTTGTTGTGGTAGTTTTTCTTCTTTTAAATATAGTCTCCTCCTTTACTGTGTTGATTTCCTTTATGTATTTAAATGTTTCTATTATATCCCCCCTGTCTTGTCTTTCCTCCAAACTATACATGTTAAGATCTTTTAACCTTTCCTGGTAAGTTTTATCCTGCAATCATTAAACCAGCTTAGTAGCCCTTCTCTGAACTCTCTCTAGAGTATCAATATCCTTCTGAAGATACGGTCTCCAGTACTGCACAATACTCCAAGTGAGGTCTCACCAGTGTTCTGTACAATGGCATGAGCACTTCTCTCTTTCTACTGCTAATACCTCTCCCAATACAACCAAACATTCTGTTACATACCTTAGTATCATCAGCAAAAAGACATACCTTACCATCAAGACCTTCTGCAATATCACTAATAAAAATATTAAAGAGAATATTTACAGATCCCTGAGGTACCCCACTGGTAACTAGACCTTGCTTCGAATATACTCCGCTGACAACAATCCTCTGTTGCCTGTCATTTAGCCACTGCCTAACCCATTCAACAAAATTGGAATCCAAACTTAAAGATTGCAGTTTATTGATGAGCCTTCTATGTAAGACTGTGTCAAAAGCCTTACTGAAATCTAGGTAGGCAATGTACACTGCACGACCCTGATCTATTATTTTAGTTACCCAATCAAAAAAATCAATAAGATTAGTTTGGCATGATCTCCCTGAAGTAAACCCATGTTGTCTCTGATCTTGAAATCCATGTGATTTTAGATGTTCAACAATCCTATCCTTTAACACTGTTTCCATTACTTTCCCCACTACTGAAGTAAGGCTTACTGGCCTATAGTTGCCCGACTCCTCCCTACTGCCTTTCTTGTGAATGGGTACAACATTCGCAAATTTCCAATCTACTGGGACTACTCCTGTTAACAATGATTGGTTATGATAAATGATGATAAATCCGTTAATAAGTTTTAAGAGTACTGTTCGGTGGAATCAATTGTATGGATGAGAGGAACAAGTTCCAGGGTAAGACTATTAACTATGTTCGGTAGTTTGTTCGGTTTTTAAAACAAGCGAACTAGACCGACCGCAAGCCCTGATTCTCTGGAACTGTTTTGGGCCTCATGTGCGGTCAGTCAAATTATGACTTGAGTTGATTATGACCATGGAAATCCCGAACCCCTGAACCGATCTGGGTGATTTATGGATATGTTGGTCCCCCAGATCGGGACTATCAGGGGATATGACTTTTGTGGGTTTTCCATGTGTTTTAGGGGTACTCTCAGGGGGTGTTAAAATGTATGTTTTCTGTGCCTGGAGATAATTGAGTTTAGTACAGTTCCTCACTCAATTATCTCACAGGCACAGGGGAGGGATTATCCTGTTTTGTGTGGGAGTGCCTTAGACCTGAGAGCCAATATAATTACAGTGTGTACAGTGTGTACTATGCCATAGTCCCCTTTCATGTCCAGGATGAAATGCCCCTGGAATATATCACGTTAAACCTCTTGAATGGGGACTTGCATATAAACCAGCCAGTTGGCCTGAATAAATTAATTTCTGTTGTACCCTTCATCTAATTATGATGAAGGGTTATGTCTGATTGCTGGGGAAATCTACTTGGATGCTGTATTTTCCTCCTGGAGAATGTTCGAATTAACACACGAACTGCGAGCTATAATCACTCAGCCTTTAGCAGTTCGGGAGGAACCAAAAGGGAATGGGTATCTGAAATACCAGCGTCCTTCATAGGGCAAATCTACTAAACAGTGATTAGATTAGCCCATTTGGGCAGAATGTTCCTTTAATTATTGTTACTATTATTATTGGTGTGAAAGGAAACACTTAAGAGTGTAAAGCAGCTTATTGAATTGTATTTATTTATAGATATTTTAAAAGGGTGCAGTGGAGGGAAGGGATCTGTACAGGGAGGGAGGGGAACTGTAAGGGTGCAGGGGAGGGAGCAGATCTTTGCAAGATGCAAAAGGGGGCCTGTGCAAGGAGGAAGGGGGACTCTCAGATTGCAGGGGAGGAAGGAAGTGGGACTGTCAAGGTGCAGGGGAGGGAAGGGTGCAGGGGAGGGGAGGGAAGGGTACAGGGGAGGGAGACTGTCAGGGTGCAGAGGAGGGAGGGGGACTATCTGGGTGTAGGCAAGAGAGGGGGACTGTTAGGGTGCGGGGGAGGGAGGAATGGGGTATTGTCAAGGAGGGAACAGGAACCTTGCTGCCCCCAAAAGAATGCCCTCTGAGGCCGACCACCCCCCCTTGCTATGCCACTGCATGTGTATCATCATTCCCTTCTCCATTCTGAAGTGCCAACACCTATGAGAGTGCTTCTGGGACATTTTATGAGTTTGTTCCGGTGTCAATAAAACATCTCGTGAGAATTTTGTAATTAGCTTTCTGAAATTTAGAAGTAAGAGAAATCTATGTCACAATTATGATTTTAGTGCATTGAGCTGCCGATAGGGATATCCCTAGCTCTTCCTCCCATCCTGCCAGGAAAGGTAATGGGAGGTCTGAGGGCCTACAAATAGCCCTTGGTACAGTACCGAGATGCCCCTGTGTAAGCACTCCCTTCATGCGCAGTAGTCTTCAAACTGTATGAAAGGTCTGGTTAGTCCTCTCTTTGTTGTAATGATGCGAAAGAAATGCGTCAATTGGAGAAAACCAGTTGTGTGAGCTGCCATTTCAAAACTAACACTTGCGACATTTTTAACCATTCTGCAGTGCAGACATCTTTCACGAAGGATGGTCCCTTTCATGCAGAAATTTTGAATTGTTGTGCTCCATTCCTTCCAGAGAAGCTGTATTGGTCGTCAACAAGTACATAATCCCCACTAATGTGAATAAGCCATTTTAAGAGTTCCAATGTAGATCCTACCAGTGGATGCCTTTGTGCGTGTCGTGTCGAATCCTTCCTATCTAACCAGATCGCCCCCAGTACGGTTCCCCCTGA